GTCTATCTTTCCTGCCGCCCGCATTCGGTAGTCTCGTGCCGGTTCTCCCACCCTGGGGAGGTCGATGGCGATGGGCAGGTGAAGGAAGGAAACGAGGGCCAGGCTGGTTGATCTTAGTTTCAGTTCATTCCATTCCCATCTCCATTCTCCTCTGCTTCTCCTCCTGCTTCTTCCTCCCCCATGCTACTTCATTCTCCTCCTCAATCCCCCTTCATCCTCCTTCTCTGGAGTCTCGATTCTGATTCCTATCTCTCAGCCCACTCTTACAGTCTAGTTAAATCCCAAAGCATGAGTGGTTGGGGTAACAATTACACTTAGGAACAATCACAATCAATGGGGGTATAATTCTTTCCCTCGGGGACATCCACTCCTAGGACAGATCCTCATTATCAGATCAATCCACCCTTAGAGCGGATTCCCCTGGCTGTGTTTCTCCTCTCCTTGTCTAACAAACATATAAGCATATATAATTATTATATAATAATATAATAATATAATTAATTATAAATTATTTTGTATGGATACAGTAAGAAATACCTTAAACTTATAGAATTGCCCTCCTAGGGCCCTCTTGATCTCAGACTACAGTGCTCAGGCCAGATAGTCTTTCCTACCCCTAACAGAGTCCTTGTCTCATAGTTACTTTTGGATCATGACAGCATTTGTCTATGATCAAGCTCTTAACTTATTGTTAAGAATTGTGGCACTTTGGCCTGGCCCATTTCAATGCCAGGGTAGCTCACCGCTTGCCTTGGGTCCATTCAGTCCCTTGTCGGGACCCTGCTTTTGGGGTTTTAGGAACCAAGTGCAACTGAGGCTTAAGTCGAGAAAGCAGATGCCCAGGAGTGAATAATATTCAAAGCCAATTAAATCCTAAGTTACAAAAGCATAATATTATCTGTCTTTCTGTATCTATATAAAAGGGACATTGCATTAAACTATTCAAAAGACATAAAAGGAGAGGAGAAAGGCAATATTTCACTCATACTTATAAAATCATGGATTTCTGAGGAATCTAACCTTACAAGTTAACAGAGTCTGATTAGGGGAAAAACTGATTAACTGGTTGGGGAGAAGAGCATAGAGAAGTGGTTACAGATAAACGAAGGAATGGGAGTGATTCAGGAGCACTGTGATGGGTGTAACTTGATAAGCCTAAGTTTCTTGTGGAGAAAGGGAAAGAGGACAAAGCAATGTCATCCTACAATGAGGGTAATTTTTTTTCTTTTTTTCAAATTTTATTTATTTATTTTATTTATTGAATCACTGTGGGAAAAGTTACAAAGCTTTCAGGTTTAAGTCTCAGTCATACAATGATCAAACACCTTTTCCTTCACCAGTACTCATTTTTCACCACCAAGAACCCCAGTATACCCCCCTCCCACCCCTCCAAATGCCTGTGAGGCAGATGATTTCTATTTAACTCTTCTCTACATTGATTACATTCATCATTTCGACAAAAGATGCACCATTATTGTTTAGAATCCCCCCCCCCGCCCCAACAATCAGAATTGCTGAAAAGGCATTGTGAAATACTTTGTTTTCTATAGCTGGTTATGAGAATCATATAATGTCACGTGGCTGCGATTTTGGATTTCTGCACAGAGCCAGATAATAACGAGATTGATTTCTGTGTATCTGGTGTTATGGCTGTGCCAGAGAGCCGCTCGTGGGGGGCAACTTGTGACCTCGGTAGGGCGTGAAGGATGAGTCGGTACCGTCACCCTTCCCATGAGACTGCAGTTGCCCCTTCACCGCCAGCTCATACCTGGCTTTCCAATAAGCTCTAATGCGGTGGCCACCTTGCTGTCAGGCGGGGAAAAGGCGAAAGGGAGCAACAAATGAGGGTAATTTTTTTAAATTGAAAAAAAAAATAGTGAGGGAGGGGGCTGGAGCAATAGCACAGTGGATAGGGCGTTTGCCTTGCACACAGCCGACCCAGGTTCGATTGCCAGCATCCCATATGGTCTCCCTGAGCACTGCCGAAAGTAATTCCTGAGTGCATGAGCCAGAAGTAACCCCTGTGCATTGCCAGGTGTGACCCAAAAAGCAAAATAATAATAATAATAATAATAGTGAGGGCAGGAGCTATGGTACAGCAGGTAGGGCACTTGCTTTGCATACAGCCAACCTGGGTTCCATTCCCAGCATCCCATACGGTCCCCACGCCTGCAGGACTGATTCCTGAGTGCAAATCCAGGAGTAACCCCTGAGTATTGCTAGGTGTAGCCTCAAAACAACAATAACAACAAAACAGTGAATCCATGAGCCACAACTTTGTGACTTCTTTACAAGTTGTAGAAGACTCAGTAAAACAATCAGTGTTGGTGTGGATGCAATAAAACACAGTCTCTTCACTGCTGATGGAAGTGTCTACTGTTCTAGCCCTTCTGGAAAACAATATGGATACTCCTAAAAAAAAAACATAGAAATTGGGCCAGAGAGAGAGAGAGTACAGCAGGTAGGGCACTTGCCTTGCATATGGCCAACCTGAGGATAAGCCCCAGTTTCCTATATGGTCCCCTGAGTACTGTCAGGAGTGATCCCTGAGCACAGAATCAGAAGTAAGCCCTGAGCACAACCGAGTACGACCCAAAAGCAAAAACCAAACAGAATTTAAAGAACAAAACAAAACAAAAGAACCCTGGGGGTTGAGGGGCTGGAGCGATAGCACAGCGGGTAGGGCATTTGCCTTGCATGCGGACAACCCAGGTTTGATTCCTTTACCCCTCTCGGAGAGCCTAGCAAGCTACTGAGAGTGTCCTGCCCACACGGCAAAGCCAGGCAGGCTATCAGTGATGTATTCGATATTCCAAAAACATAACAAGTCTCACAATGGAAACATTACTGGTGCCTGCTCGAGCAAATCGATGAACACTGGGAGGACAGTACTACAGTGCAGTACTATATGTGGAATATAAAAAGAACATAGCAGGGGCTGGAGTGATAGCACAGCGGGTAGGGTGTTTGCCCTCCACGCAGCCGACCCGGGTTCAATTCCCAGCATTCCATATGGTCCCCCGGGCACCGCCAGGGGTAATTCCTGAGTGCATGAGCCAGGAGTAACCCCTGTGCATTGCCGGGTGTGACCCAAAAAGAAAAAAAAAAAAAGAACATAGCAGGGCGATAACAAATGCCCAAAACTAATTGAAATGAAAAACACGAGAACTTGTCTTCCGTAGGAGACCAGTTGGAGACCTTCAGTAGGAGGCTTTGGGGTGGGAGTATAGGCCAGGAAGAGAACACTGACGCAGTCCTGGAGGGAGCTGGGAGATGACAAAGGAGGTGAAGCATTAAGCATAAAAACCTATCAGTAGCAATACTGTAACTCATAAAGCAAAAATGTATTTTGAAAGTGCCTGTCAGAGGGGTGGAGCAAGAGTTCAGTAGGTAGGCAGCTTGTCTTTCATGCAATGTTCCTGGGTTTGATTCCCAGCATCCCAGCGCCCCCAGGAGTAATTCCTGAGTGCAGAGCCAGGAGTTACCCCTGATCACCAATAGAATGACCCCCCAAACCAACCAACCAACAAACAAACAAACAGAAGCCCCTGCCACAGGTTAGCTCTTCCAGTCTGTGTTCTCCCCTGAACAAGTATCTCACTTGCTATTCTCTGCTTACTTGCTCGTCCCAGTTTCTGTTCTCTCTGAAACACGTGTTCCTTTCCTTCTCCCCCTACATCTTTCTAAGTAAGTTTTGCTCAATAAAATTTATCTTGCTTCACTAAGGAGAAAAAAAATGTGCTTGTCATAGAGACAGGCTCGTGGGTGGGAGGGAAACTGGGAGCATTGGTGGAGGGAAGTGCACACTGGTGAAGGGATTGGAGTTGGAATATTGTATGCCTGAAACCCTATCATTAATAATTTTGTAATCCATAGTGACCAACTGTCACTGTCACGGTCCTCCCATTGTTCATCGATTTGCTCGAGCGGGCCCAGTAAGGTCTCCATTGTGAGACTTATTGTTACTGTGTTTGGCATATTGAATACATCACGGGTAGCATGCCAGGCTTTGCCGTGCTGGCAAGATACTCTCCGAGAGCCCGAACTCGGGTCAGCCATGCAGTAACCAAATTGAAAAAAAATAAATAAATACTTAATAAAAAGATTGAAATGAGTAAATAATTTAAGGTCAATTGAAGAGGCACTGTTAAGTTTTTATTTTAATATTCAACCGTTTACTCTTGGGCCCTCGTTGTCTGAGAGACAAAGGTCTCAATGATGACATCTTGAGAAGACCCAGCAGATTCGACGCCCAGCAACCCACCGTTTAATAAGCATTTAATTTGCTTGAGCGGTCCCAGTAACGTCTCCATTTTGAGACTTGTTGTTAACTGTGTTTGGCATATTAAATATACTCTCGGTAGCTTGCCGTGCTCTCTGAGAGGGGAGGAGGATTTGAACCCGGCTCAGCCAGGCTGGCTGCATGCAAGGCAAACGCCCTACCGCTGTGCTATCACTCCAGCCCAGTATTGCTATCATTTGGAACAAAGAAAATGAACATAGATCAGAAGAGCACCAAAATAAATTTTATCCAAGTCTTTAGCTTATTTGTATTAAAATGTAAAGTGTGGAGATCCATGCTTCTGTATAAATTTGTATCAGTGATCTTCGGCACTGCGCTTCACATTGCTCCTTTTTGTTTTGTTTCTGTGTCATGGACCACACCCGTCAGTGCTCAGGGCCTACTCCCGGCTCTGACTCAGTCATCACTCCTGGAGGGACTTGGGGGGTTCTTATGCGGTGAGGGGACCGAATCCGAGTTGACCACGTGGAAGGCAAGCGCCCTGCCCGCTGTTGTATCGCTCCGCTCCCACGCTGCTCATATTCTAGATCAGAAGACGTGGACTTGGTTCACTGCTGTTTGGAAGTACTGACACCCGCTCCCTTTCCAAGCAGACGGGGCTTCCCCCAACGCGAGTCCCTCAGGATTTCCTGACTACATTTCCCATGATCCCCTTGCCAGCGTCGGCGTCGCGCGGCGCTGTCGTCATTCCGCGCCCTTTATACCCACTTCCGCCCACGAGCCCCTTCCTTTCCTTTCGGCTGCGCGCGGCGGCAAGATGGCGGTGCAGATTTCCAAGAAGAGGAAGGTGCGCTGCCGGGGGCTCGAATCCGAGGGGCTGTGGCGGCGTGCCGAGCAGGGCCGTCTCGAGCTGCCGTCACGAGACCTCTGGCTCCTTGCCCTGCCCCAGCCAGGGGGCGCGGGCCGCGCGGAACCACTGCCCGCGGCGGATGGCGGCGGATTGAGTTGCGGGCCCGAGCGGCGCGCGCAGTGTGGTCCGGGAAGCGGAGAGACCGCGCCCGACCTCGCTCGGGCGGAGACACACCAGCCTACCCCGGCTTTTGGGGCGGGACGTTGCTCTCGTGTGTTCGGTGTTTTGCCGCTTCTCGGGGTGGGGTGCAGAGCTGGGTTTCGTGCCCATCAGGGACAGCGGATTGGGCGGGGGTGGGGGTGGGGGGACGGATCCCGCGCGCTTTGGGATTCCCGAGCTCGCTTCCGGGCGGGAGGCGGATCGGCCTTGGGCGTTGATCGTGCTGGGGAGCAGCCCCGGGGGTGCCCAGGGTTTCCTCCTGGTGCCGGGGACCGGTGCTGCTGCAGCAGTACCCGGGGTGGGTGGGTGGGTGGGTGTGTGTGTGTGTGTGTAGCAGTACCCGGGGTGTGTGTGTAGCAGTACCCGGGGTGTGTGTGTGTGTGTGTGTGTAGCAGTACCCGGTGTGTGTGTGTGTGTGTAGCAGTACCCGGTGTGTGTGTGTGTAGCAGTACCCGGTGTGTGTGTGTAGCAGTACCCGGTGTGTGTGTGTGTGTGTGTGTGTGTGTGTGTAGCAGTACCCGGTGTGTGTGTGCGTGTGTGTGTGTGTGACCTCCTGGTGCCGGGGACCGGTGCTGCTGCAGCAGTACCGTGTGTGTGTGTGTTACCTCCTGGTGCCGGGGACCGGTGCTGCTGCAGCAGTACCCTCTGTGTGTGTGTGTTACCGTGTGTGTGCGCGCGCTGTGCCGGGGACCGGTGTTGCAGAAGTACCCGGTGTGTGTGTGCGTGCGTGTGTGCTACAGCAGTACCCGGTGTGTGTGTGTGTGTGTGTGTGTGCGTGCGCGTGTGTGTGTGCGTGCTGCAGCAGTACCCGCACATTGCGGGTTCGGATTTTGTGTGTGTGTTACCCGGTGTGTGTGTGCGTGCGTGTGTGCTGCAGCAGTACCCGCACATTGCACATTGCGGGTTCGGATTTTCCCAGCCTTTATTAGGCTCGAGGGAGCCCAGATGACCGGGGTGCCACCCTGCCCTTCTTTTCCCTTGGCGGGAGCTCAGCTCAGCAACGACAGCCTTCCCGTTTAGACCGTTTTCGAGAAGCGGGGGTACCCACACATCACAGGCTCCCCCCCACCCCACCCAGAAACCCTTCAATGAAGAGAGGATGACGAGTCTGACTGGAGGTGGCCACTTTGTCCAGGAAGCCCCTGCTCTGCGCTGCGTTCTGTGGCACAGTGGTAGGGACCCTGGGCCAAAGTAACTTCCAGAAGATGACCTCCGAGGCATTTGTCTGAGAAGGGTTGCTTGTGCACCTGCCCCTGCAAAGGGTGATGGGTGGGTGCGGGGGTTATTTGTTGGATTTGGATTAAAGGATGCACTTGGAGATTCCTTGAGTTTGCGCCCTTATCTAAATTTTGGCTGTTTGGTTAGTTTGTAGCTGATGGCATCTTCAAGGCGGAATTGAATGAGTTTCTCACCCGGGAGCTGGCTGAGGATGGCTACTCCGGGGTCGAGGTCCGGGTTACACCCACCAGAACCGAAATCATCATCTTGGCCACCAGGTAAGTGCTCCACTTTCCTAAATGGCACCTGTAGCTGCAGTAATGGATTTCTTCGGCAATACGGTTTCAGTCTTTAAGTACACTTTCTCATCGAATTCAAGTCCAAAACTTGTGTTGCCAGGTGAGATCTTAATAATGCTTGTATGAAAAGAACTGGGTTTTGTTTTTGGGTCATACCCAGTATTGCTTGGGGATTGCTTCTGGCAGTCCACAGGGGGCAATATGCAGTGCCAGAGATTGAGCCTGGGTCAGCAGTGTGTAAAATGAGCACCCTGCCCACTCTCTAGCCCCTATATGCAAGACTAAAAATTGCATGTCCAGCAGGGAAGGTTGAGCTGTGCTCAGGAGACTGTGCCATGTGCTAGGGTGCAAGCCAGGTACATGGGAGGCTTGACCACTGTTATTGCTGTTCAATATGTCAGATATTGTGCGGTTCTCAACATTTTCCTTTTCCACAGGACACAGAATGTGCTTGGTGAGAAAGGCCGGCGGATTCGGGAGTTGACGGCTGTGGTTCAGAAGCGGTTTGGCTTTCCTGAGGGCAGTGTTGAGGTGAGAATCCTGGCCTTTCTTAGCATCACGCTGAAGACTTGTTGCTCTTGGTAGAGTGATAGACGTGGTGAGTTGGCTGTGCGTGTCAGTCTCATGGTGAGGGGTGGCCAGAGCAGATCTTGTGTGCTGGAGTGTGTGGCTGCTTGGGATGCTTGCTGAGTGCTGTTTTTTGGGTTTTTTGTTTATTTGTTTTACGGAAACCTTTGGGGTGGTGACAAGTTTATGAGTGTGCCTTGTTTTTCTCTTGAAAGCTTTATGCTGAAAAGGTTGCCACGAGAGGTCTGTGTGCCATCGCCCAGGCAGAGTCTCTGCGCTACAAGCTGCTGGGAGGTCTGGCCGTGCGGAGGTGAGTGTCGGGAGATGCAGAGATCATGCTCCCTTGCCTATGGGTCAGGTTACTGTTCTTAGTAAGGGTTAATGGATAGTGGTTTTTCTCATCTTTACCCTCAGAGTCACAGTCTGGTAAATTGGTAAACAAATTTTGGGTTGGGGGTGGTTGGGGGGGGTGTTTGTTTTAGGGGGGTCACACCCAGCAATGCTTCGGTTACTCCTGGCTCTGCACTTGGGAATTACTCCTGTCTGTCCTTGGGGTTGAACCTGGCTCACCACAGGTAAGGCAAATCCCCTACCCGCTGTGCTATTGCTCTGACCCTGAAGCAGTCGTCAAAGTAAACTGGTTTGGGGTATTAAAGTGATGGCTAGCTACTCAGTTGCTGTCTTTGAGGGTGTAAATGAATGAGGGGGGGTTTCCTGATACTTAAAGGTTACCATCCATTTTGTAGGCTCAGATATATTTTCCAACATGCTTTGTCAAGACTTCATTAGTGGTTAGGGTTTTGGGGATGGGGGGGTGGGGAGGCTACACTTGGTGGTGCTCAGAGCTTATGACTCCCGCCTCTGAACTCAGGAATCATGGCGTGCAAAGGGTTGAACCCAGGTCAGCAGTGTGCAAGGCAAACTCCCAACATGCTGTACTATCATTCCAGCCCCTTGAGTATGACTCTTTAATGAGCATGAATTCTAGAGATTGCGGAATTTTTCGGTGTATTATACTTTTATCGAATGTAGCCTGCCCACAGGGCAGAGTCTGGCAAACTCCCCGTGGCGTACCAAATATGCCAAATACCAGTAACAATGATGGGTAATAGACGTTACTGGGGCCTGCTCGAGGCAATCGACGATTATACTTTTAGATTTTTCTAAGTTCTTATTGTTTGCTCTCCTGATTTAAAAATCTTAATAGGTACCAGAGCAATAGTATACAGCGGGTAGGGCATTTGACTTGGACAAGGCCGACCTGGGTTTGATCCCCGGCATCCCATATGGTCCCCCAGCACTGCCAGGAGTAATTCCTGAGCGCAGGGCCAGGAGTTACCCCTGAGCATTGCTGGGTGTGACCAAAAAAGCAAAAACCAAAAAGAAAAATCTTAACAGTTTGTATTGGTGATGAATTTATTTTACATTGTTGGGCCGCACTGGGCAGGGGGAGGGTTTTCAGCATAGAAACCTTGATCAGCTTCCTGCTCCCATTTTTTCTTCTTCAGTGTCTGGAACTGAGCTGTTGTCTCTAAGTGTGTGTCTCTGACTCCCAAAGGGCCTGCTATGGTGTGCTGCGGTTCATCATGGAGAGTGGAGCCAAAGGCTGTGAGGTCGTGGTGTCTGGGAAGCTCCGAGGACAGAGGGCCAAGTCCATGAAGTTTGTGGACGGTCTGATGATCCACAGTGGGGACCCTGTTAACTACTACGTTGACACTGCCGTGCGCCACGTGCTTCTCAGACAAGGTGAGTCTAGCAGCCCGATAATGGTCTTCGGCGTCTCCCTCCCCCTGTGGGAAGTTCTCCATGGGAGTAGTGAGGCATGTGGATTCCTGGACTTCCTTGAGCGAATGGCTGAGATTGAGGCAGGCTTTCTCTGTCCTTGTCTCAGCCTCCTGGCACCCTTCAGTGATGACACGATGACGAATCAGAATGGTCACGTCCTGCTCTTGGTCCATGTCGGTGCCACGTTCTGTGGTGCTGTGCATGGTTCCTTTTGCAACAGTGTCCTGGTAACTGATTGATTAGAGGCATTTGTCTGAGAAGGGGCCAGACAGATGCAGGTGTGCCCCTGGGACCCTCTCAGCCTTGTTCTCTAGTGTGTGGGAGTTAGTGACACTCCCAGACCCTAACTATGGCATCTTCTAGGTGTGCTGGGCATCAAAGTGAAGATCATGCTGCCATGGGACCCAAGTGGCAAGATTGGCCCCAAGAAGCCGTTGCCTGATCATGTGAGCATTGTGGAGCCCAAAGATGAGATCCTGCCCACCACCCCCATCTCAGAACAGAAGGGAGGGAAGCCAGAGCCGCCAGCCATGCCTCAGCCAGTGCCCACTGCATAACAGGTATGCTTGTCTGTCTCCCCCCGCCCCCGTTACAAATACGGAATTTTAAAAATGGGTTATGTCTACTTCACGTGGTAAAGCAAAATTAGCCTCCTTAAAAATTGCCACCACACCTATGCTTGGTAGAGTTTTGTTGTTTCTAGGTGTTTGGTAAAAAAATCTTCTATAAAAGTTCTTAGTGGGATTGTATGCCGGTTAGGTAAATGAAAAGTCCTAATACTAAGGTGAAGTTTTGGCCTTAACTGTTCTTTATTTGGTTTCAGGGTCTCCTTGGCAGCTGCATCTGGAGTCTGGATGTTCCTTAAGGACCTTTAATAAAATATTTGTAAAAGACCAAGGGCCTGGCCAGACTGTATGTGCAGATTTCAGGCTGAGGGTCCCATCCTGTACAGGAGCTTTTCATCATAGATTGTTGCGACTGCCAGGTCCCAGTGTTCCTTCCCTGAAATCCTCTTGGTTTCAGCTGTGCTTATTGAACAAGGACCTGAACTAAATGTAGCCAAAGAAGTGTCTCACCTGGCAGATATGGAGCCCTGGGTCTGATCCCCGGCACCAGCAGGTGTCACCCAAAAACATCTCGGAGCTGGAGTTGTTGGGTCACTCACCTTTTATGCAGCCAGTTTGGTTCAATCCCGTTTAACTGCATTTTGGGGCATTTGCATGACCGTCAGAGCTTCCAGAAGTACAGGGATATGGGTAGAAGTAGCCCATCACCAACTCCCTGAAAGCCTGAAAATTTCAGTCACAAAACCTGTTTTTAACAGTTTTCGAGCAGATAGCATTAAGGCTTGTTTTGAGCAGTGGAGCTGCAAGTGTGGATTGGAGGTTTTCAGCTGACAGGGCTTTGGGCAGGTGGGTCCAGAGAATCTCTGCAATTTGTTGATGTCTTTCAAGATAGATTTATGACTCTGGATCATGGCCATTGAATGAATTCCTTCCCTACATTTTAAAAGATTTTGCCCGAACCCATGTAAAAACCTGTAATGCACATAAAAGAATCATAATGTTTGGGTCACTATACAAATTAACATATTAGGGCAGATTTTCTTGTACCATGGATACAGATGACAGCTGTTCTATGACATTTCAACATTGCTTTACGTAATTGAAGGGAAACTGGGGCGCCCTACCCACTGCAGTTCTCAGGGCTTAACCTGACTGCTCAAGAATCATTTCTGATGGGCTTGGGGTACCAGGAATCAGGCCCACATGTGAAGCAAGCACCCAACCCACTGTACTATCTCTAGCCCTTCTATTTTTATTACTATCTCCAGCCCTTCTGTTTTGTTCTGCACCATATTTAGTTCTGTGTGATGGGATTTGTAGTGAATTTATTTCAATTAAGAGTTGGAAACTAGAGTCTTGGTCCTTTAAGATCTTACTGTTCGTGTGGTAGGAGAGAACACAAAGGCAGGTGAGGTGCATTGCTTGTACAGAGCCAACCCAGCTTCATCCAACCCTGGTGCTCCATATGGGCCCACAAGCACAGTCGGGCCACTTTGATCACAGAGCCAGGCACAGTCCTGGATGTGCTTATCCAAGTCTGTATAACAAGATTTTGGATAACAAATGGCGCTCTTAATTTGCCACCAGATGGGGCTGTAGCATAAAATTTCTCTACAAGTAGTTTAGGCAGGGAGGGAAGCAGATTATTACTACACAGGTGTACAGCTCAAATTGCCAACCTGAAAGTTTCGATAGCCTTTTCTAGTGTCAAAGGTTAGTTTTTTTCTTCAAATCTTTATTTCAGAAAACCGTATGAAAAGTGGAGAACTTTATAGGTGAACCCATAAACCAGGCTCTTCCAAGAAGGCAAGACCCCCTCCACCATGCTGCTTCCACAGCCTTCAGCTGTCCCCTACCAGGTTCCTGGTGTCTGGTGGCCCCTTTGGCTTCTGTGTGGAGGGCTTAGATTGTCATGAAACACCTGTCCTCAGGAGTGAGGGGCTGGTGCTGAGGAACTGCTGAATCTTTACCGGATTTTCCACCAAAAGTGGCTGCCAGGCTCTAGAGTTGGGATTCCTTGCAGCTGGTGACAGACGGAGGGGGCCTCCTGGGAACTGAGAATTGGGCAAGGAAATAGCTTGAGACTAGGTGAGAGAGCAGGCAAAGGTCAGGGGCCACAGGACAGCACCAGAGAAGCAGAAGGTTCTGGAGAGGATGGAGTCAGGCAACAAAGGGGCTTGCACCCTCAGACAGCATTGGAACCTGCTGGAGCTCCCAGCAAAGAATCAAACCTGTTCAGGGCTGTTCTCTCATTTCCAAGGGGAGGTCCAGGAAACAAACCACAGTGCCCAGCTCACCTCCTCCAGCCAATCCTCATTAGCTGAAGAATTCGGCCAAGGCAAAAAGACTGCCCAATGTAATCTTGGCTGAGGGACACCTTTCCCTGCAGAGTACTTGGACCCAGGCTCAAGTCCAAGCTCGGTGCTGTTGGGACATGTACAAATATTCGTTCAGTCAGAGGCACTGAGACAAGGAACATGAGATAAATTATTTTTCACTGAGGGACTGCATTTTCTCAGATCCTGTGACAAGGTAGAGCGTCCTAAGATTTCCTTTCATTACCATCCTACCGTACACACCTCTAAAGGGCTCAATACAGTGAGGTCATCAATAAAGATATTACAGGAAGAACTTATACTAAGATTTAGGTTACTTACTAAAGGCAGTTTAAAGAAAAGATGTTCAGCCTTATCCAAATCAGTCCAGACACATGAATCATGGCTCGCCCATTTTCATGGGTCCTGTTGGTCCTGCCCATGTGCAGGTTAGTCTCCACAGGCTTATCCTGACAGTCAAGTTAGGCCCTAACAGGAATGGTTACAGGGGATGTGCTTTTTGGCTCCTACTTGGAGACGACTTAATTTCAAGCCAGTCTGCAACTTCCGAAGTCTGCCTGGGCACATCAGTTACTATCTGCCTGTTTGCTTGTCATTAAGTGGACTTCTCAGCACAGTGGCTCCCACAAGTGCTGGACGCTAGCACAGCCTTCTGGAAGTTACAGCTCACATCATGGTATTGGTTGAAGGCCTTAGGGCCCCAATGAGGGTTGGGCTCTATCCAATCTTCTCGATTCTTATAAGGGGGTGGGGTGGAGTGTTTGGCAGATTCTATTACTGACCTCATTTTAAAGTGGTGGTAATTTATCCCCTGCATGTTGGGGGGTTGGGGAATATGTGGTTATCTCTTCTGGTTTTGGTTTGGGGGGCCACACCTGGCAGTGCTCAGGGTTTACTCCTGGTTCTGTACTCAGAGATTACTCCTGCTGGTGCTCATGGGACTATAGGGGATGCCAGGGATCAAATCCAGGTCAGCCACATGTAAAGCAGATGCCCTACCTGCTGTGCTATCACTCTGGCCCCAGTATTTCCCTTTCTGTCTGGAGAAATGTGCTGATTCATCAACTTCTCCATCAACTTAAGAAATTCGAGCTGTTCTATGTTGCTACATTTATGTTCTGATTTATGTGAAATGCCCTTTGTCATTTGTTGTCAGGGAAATTAAGAAACTCTGAACACTTACTTCTTTAAGTCCTGACACCTTCCTGAAAGGCAGGACACACAATGGGACCCCACGGAGAATATATCAGTGGTTTGTCTTCTAGACAATACTATTGTCCTTCCATATTTCCCTTATCTTAATCTTGTATGGCGTAGTTGGGAAAACTAATGTGTCAGAATGAAATAATTTTAGGATGGTGAAGTAGTTAAGGTTTTCAAGATACAGGAAAACCCAAATTCATTAAGATCTCAATGTATTTTTTTTTAAAGGAATGCAATTCATTTGATTGCAAGATGGAATGAATCTTTTTTTCTTTTTAAAAAATAGATTTACTCATGGTCTTGGAAAACCTAAAAAAGAACAACCATCATTAAACAGTGATCTTTCAGATTTGTTCTGCCCCTCTTTCTTCCCTTTGTTCAGCGGCCTGGCTGGCCCCCTCTTGCTGCTAGGGACTGAACCCATCCCCACAAGGCAGTGCTCTGAGGACAAATGCACAACTCCTGATAAAAGGAAGGGCAGTGGCGTGGAAGAATGGTTCCTACCTCAAGACACGAGAAGTGTTGGTTTCCTGTGCTCAGTGGCAGGCCTTGTTCAGTACTGGGGGACATGCTTTGTGTCTCTAAGGGCATCCACTGAATGCATTTGTCAGGGAGAGTCATGGAGGGAGCGGTCAGCTCCAGGGATGGGTGCTGCGGACAGGCAGGGACTCCCTGGGGGAAAGGGCAGAGCCTGCCTTCATTTGCTGCCAGGGTTCCCCCAGGGTTGGCAGGCAATACAGCATCTACTTTGCTTTGTCCTGGGTTTTAGAGGCAGGCGGGGCGTCCACCTCCCTCCCCGCCCCTCTCTGTCATTATCGGCCGTGTCCAGATGGTCCCAGGCTCCCTAATCTAGGATAATCGCTGGCTAGGAGCTCAGGGGGGACCTGGGCCTTTGTGCTGAGCTGTGACGGGCCAGTCCCAGCTGGAGAAACCCCACCTACGAAGCCCAGGGTTTTCGAGGCGGGGAGGGCTGTCGGTTGGCCCGGCGCCTGAGGGAGGACAGTGAGCAGATGAAGCAGAAAAGCTGTGTGTAAATGATTGGCAGCTCCAGATGGGGCCTGCCCAGCTCCTCGGGGCCATGGCACAGGACCTGGGCTACTGCGCCTGGTCTGGACCATCCTTTGTTCTCTTTCTCACTCCCCAGTCACACCCCTCTCTAGCCAGCATTTTTTTTTCAGTTGCTCCCCCTATGGCCCCTGGCCAAAGTGGCTGCTTCTAAGGGCCTGGCTGTCTTTATTATTTTTTTCCTGGCTTTCTGAGACACACCCAGCAATGCTCAGGGGTTACTCCTGGCTCTGCATTCAGAAATTACTCCTGGCATTGCTCAGGGGACCATATGGGATGCCAGGGATGGAATCCTGGTCGGCCACTTGCAAGATAAGCGCCCTCTCTGCTGTACTATCGCTCCCGTGGCCTCGGCTTTCTGACTCATGCAGGCCGGGGTCCAGAAGCAGAGCTTTGAGCTGGCCTGCACGCGGCCACCCCCCTCAGACTTCATGGCTATTCAGGCTCCTACTGCTGCTCCGTCAGCATTTTTTCAGAAGTGGGGGTGACCACCCTGCACAGTTCCCAGCAATGAGCCTGCTTTGGAACCCCTTTTCAGGCCTCTCTACCCGAGACTGAACCTCAAGCTCATACGTTGACCCTTCTTCCACCCTGACAGTTTTGTGTCCAGGGCTGGAGTCACAGTATAGCAGGCAGGGTGGTGCTTGTTCTGTTTGCAGCCCACCAGGTTCGATCCCCAGCACCCACTATGACCTGGAGCCCCTGCAGGAATGATCCCCAAGCGCAGAGCCAGGAGGAAGCCCTGAGCACTCCTGGGTGTGGCACAAAAAAAAAAAAGTTTTGTGTCTGGTCCTGGGATGTGTCTGCTTACTTCAAAGCCTGTCCCTCTGGCTTCTCCTTGTCTGGCTTTATCACCGTTGGCGCTGGAGAGAAGGCACGTGCCTCAGAAGATTCTGCAGCGGGGAGGCTGCGCAGATAGCACAGAGATCCCAGAGTCTGCCAGGAATGAGCCCTGAGCACAGAGCCAGGAGTAAGCCCTGAGCACTGCGGGGTGCAGCCCAAAAGCAAAGACCGCCTCTCAGTGGGCACATGAGCTACTGTAAGACTCCTCATCCTTTGAGGGGAGTTTCTTCATAAAATTCACATGCCAGCCCGACCGAGCCGGGTTTGATTCCTCCGCCCCTCTCAGAGAGCCTGGCAAGCTACTGAGAGTATTCAATATGACAAACATAGTAACAAAAAGTCTCACAATAGAGACCTTAGCTCAAGCAAATTGATGAACAATGGGAGGACAGTGTTTGTTTGTTATTAATAACTGAAGCATTCAGCATTAAGAAAGGACTGATAGGGGCTGGAGCGACAGTACAGCAGGTAGGGCATCTGCCTTGCACGCAGCCGACCTGGGTTCAATCCCCAGCATCCCATCATGGTCCCTCAAGCACTGCCCAGAATAACTCCTGAGTGTAGAGCCAGGAGTAACCCCTGAGCATCACTGGGTGTGACCCCCCCCCCCAAAAAAAAAGAAAAAAGAAAAAAAAAGAAAGGACTAATAAACTGATAAGGCCCATGATTAAGGGAAGGATTTGGAAATAGGGCCTGCAGAGTCATTTGAAACTCCCTGTTCTTACACGGAAACATAGGTGTTTATTTCATCATTATTGGGAGAAGAGGAGGGTTGGACCACACCTAATGGTGCTCAGGAGTCACTCCTGATATGCTGGGAATTGTGCCCCAGCCCTGAGTTATCTATCAACCCCGCCCCATCATCATTGGGGGATGTGGCCACATTCAATGCTGTGCTTGAGGAACCAAGCACCCATGCAGTACTGGGGATCAAACCCAGTCCCCCTGTATGCAAAGCATCAGCACTAGCCCTTTGAACTCTCCCAAGTCTGTTTTTTTTTTTTTTACTTTTTTGAACGGAATCACTAGATAGTCCCTTACAAAACTTCATGATGAGGTTTCAGTCATACAGTGTTCCAACACTCATCCTTCCACCAGTGTACATTTCCCAGCACCAGTGTCCCCAGGTTCCCTCCCATCAACCCCCACGCCCTATCCCCTGCCTCCCTCTGTGGCAGGCAGGCTCACTCTCTCGTTCTCTCACTCTCTCTCTCTCCCCCTTCTATCTCATTTTTTTAATTATACTCATTTTTAAGAATTCATGCAGTATTCGTGGCGTTTAGGGAATATCCACTTATTAGAAAGGTGACCGCTGGTGTGCTCTGAGGGTTGCTTCTCTGGGCTGCTCCTCTCTGGCTGGAACACAGGTTGATTCTTTGAAGCAGGTTTTATTCTCAGACAGGTGCAAGGAAATGGGTATTTACAAGGAGGTGCCACAGGGGAGCAGGGCGCCGAGCTGTCCACCTCCTGGCTCAGATCGGAGTCACCTGCTCAGGCTCTGGATGATGGTGACACAGCCATGGGAGCTGGTGCAGCGCTGCAGACACAGCCGGGCCTCCACCTGCCCGCTGCTGGGGTCAAAGGTGAAGCCCCTGTCGGTGCTGTCCCCGTGCTCGTCACGCCCACCAAGGATATGCACCTTTCCATCACACACAGTCACACCGCAGCTCTCCTGGGGTGGGAGGGGGGGCAGACAAAGAATCAGCCCTGGGCTCCAGCACCCCCCCCCCCCCGTTCCTGTCGCCAGGCTAGAGAGCCACTCAGAGCAGGCAACCAGGATACGGAGAGGGGCAGGACCCGGGCGGCTGAGGTCCAGCCTGTCAGACCGGAAGAAGCGAAGGACCAGAGCAGGTAAGTCACTTCACTTCTCGGCCGAGGCTTCTGTAGCTGTGGAATGAGGATGATACTCCCTTCTTCAGGAAAGTCCCTTCCCCATTAATAGGGTTAAATCTGCTAAACGTTTTATACTGCCTGGTGCATCAGAAGCAATTAATTCCCACCGCTGCCCTCTTGGGTGCTCCTGAAATCACAGGCTCTTAGCTGGCAGGTGCTCCAGAAAGGCAGGGACCCTCAAGCCAGCCACACACCTCTCAGGATGAGGTCAAGGACACGGGGCGAAGGGACAAGGTGGAGAGGCCAGGAAGGGCAGAAGGCACAGTTGCTGGGCCACCCTTGTCTGTCCCTGAGGCAGGGAACAGAGCAAGGATCTTCACCCCAGAAGAGTGGCAGGTTCCCAGCCTGAGGCCTTAGGGCAGAGTTCCCAGTGTACTGACAGCTTCCCGCGGGGCCCAGACACTCTGTGGCTGTGACGGACACACACGGCCTGGACTCCCCGCAGGGCCACAAGAGAACCAGAGAGGAGTGTAGATGGCCACGCTCTGCTCCTACACCTGAGTGTTCTCATTCCCGGGGGGCACCCATGCCAGGCCCATGCCCATCACTTACCACAGGGCCGGGGAGTTGAGCCACCTCCCCCCAGACATCCGTGCCAGGATGGTAGGCGAAGATTTTGCTCATCAGGCCCCCCACCACGTAGATGGTGTCCTCGAGGGATACGGCCTCCAGACAGCGCTGTGAGAAGGGCGCAGGTGACCGCAGGCTCCACCGGCCCTTCTTGGGGTCGAAGCACTGTACCTGGGGGCGAAGGGCAGCAGCGGTGAAGGCCCCCACTCCACCCTTAGCTGCCCACGCTGTGCCCTGCCCTCCTCTCGCCATCAGCACAATATTTGATATGTCCAGGCCTGAGCTGAGGGGAGAAGGTCCACCGGCCCCTTCCTCAGGTGCTCAGTGGGGTTCCCACCCTAGGCACCTCTCTGTCCTATTTCAGGCCCAGGGCAGGGCAGGGCAGAGGCCTGCGTCCTTGGAAAAGGAGCTGTGTCCATCCGTGCTATGGGTGCCCTGGGGCTGGGCCCTGGCTGCTGAGGGCCAAGAGCTGTCCACAGGCCTCCCCATCACATGGGTGGGAAGCTCACCGGGCCCCGACAGCCCCTGACCTGCTGCTCACCTTGACACACTGTTTCCCCAGCTGTTTCTCTGGGACCCCAGAACTGCCTGGAACACTCCAGCACTACGCCCCAAGATGGGGCGGCTCTCGCAGCCAGCACCGGGAGAGAGCCCCCGTCTGGGAGATGTCTGTCCTGTGAGGCCATCAGGAGGAAGACACTCCCGTGATGACCAAGGGGTTTTATTCACAAACAGGCCTAAATGCCCAACAATAGAAGGGGCAGCGGTGAAGACCACCCACCAGGCAGCTGCGAAATGCTCACACTTCAAGGAGAGCCACTGATGGGAGAAGACAAATTTCCAACAGAAAAGCCAAACTAAGTCCCGAGGAAGCTGGAGCGAGCAGGCAACTCACCATCCCATTATAGGAGCCTGCTGAGGTGGTGTTTGTCGCTAGGGCACAGGAATGTCACAAGGCCCCTCACCCCCAGGAGGGTCCCAGGTCCCAGTGGAGCTCCAGGTGTACTGAGGGCCTCCCCGGCCAAATACCAAAACTTTGCCCCATTCTCTGGTTTGGTTTGGTTTGGTTTTGAGGACAAACCCTGCTGAGCTCAGGGATCTGGTTGCTCAGGATGCCAGGGATCCAACAGGATGCCAGGGATCCAACCTAGCTTGGCAGAGCACAAGGCAAGAGCCCTACTGGCTGCTCTAGTACTCCGCTCCCGACCTTCTCTGTTTCCTACATTTTCAGTAATGAGTGTTGTGAATGGAGAGAAAACATTTAAACTAATGCCATCCTTGCCCTGATTTAATCTAAAAACTCTGTAAAACTCTGATGGGGCCAGGTTGTGGCTGGAAGGGCGAGCATTCGCCTCACCTGTGTGCGGCCCTGGGCGCCCTTCTGGTACCAAAGACCGAGAAAAATGAAATCTATCAGACCCACGGCCCCCACATCCGGCTCAGCCGTGTCGCCCACCCGCCCGGGCATCCCCGGGTCAGCACTAGGTCCATCCCTTCGCCCGAAGCGCGAGGGGACGTCCAGCGCCGAGCCCGCGCCCCCGCGCCCACCTTGTCGGTGCTGACGCCGTCCTGCCCCGCGCCCCCGATCACGTAGAGCTGGCCGTTGCAGGGGGTCACGGCCGCCGAGCTCACCGGCTCCAGGAGGGGCGCCGCGGCCACCCAGGTGTTGGAGAAGGGGTCGTAGCGCTCCACACTATGCAGGCGCTGCAGGCCGTCGAAGCCGCCCACCGCGAACAGCTGCAGGGGAGGTGCAGGCCGGGCGGTCAGCAGGGTCCGGGTCCACTGCCCAGCCAGCTCCGCGGGAAGGCGGTTCCCACCCGGAGTAAGGGCCAGACTGTCCCGCTTCTGCTACGCACCCGGGAAGGAGCCGAAGCCCCAGGAGAGCCACAGGACACAGAACTGGTGTGAGAAACCCCTAGTGGCTTCCCGGGGCTATCACTTAAACTAGCTAGAGTAGCACTACCATTTGCATTTCTACTACAGGAAGCTTTTGAAATATAAATGGAAAGGCCTTTTGCTGAAACTACTGCCACCGAAACACGTTTTTGAAATGTTCCTAAAAGTAATCGGAGGTTTTTTTTTTTTCTTCCTTTTTTTGGGTCACACCTGGCAATGCACAGGGGTTACTCCTGGCTCTGCTCTCAGGAATTACTTCTGGTGGTGCTCGGGGGACCATATGGGATGCTGGGAATGAAACCCAGGTTGGCCGCGTGCAAGGCAAATGCCCTACCCGCTGTGCTATCGCTCCAGTCCCTGGATTTTTTAACTAAAAGGAAAGTTATCCTTTATAGACAGGTTTGTGGAAGAAATAAAACAAATATCACCTTATCCCATCGGGAGAATATAGACTTAGTTTTGTTTTCTGTAACAATTAGCTAAAATGATTACTTTTTATAATTTTAATTTGAAGATTAAATAAACACTTTCATTTAAAAATTTGCATTTCTGAGTTTAGATGTGGTTTACAAAGACTGGCAGATAGGGAGTGGAGAGGGGGGTCTGGCCTTTACTGTGTTAAGTGACAGAGCCAAGAGTCAAACATCAGTTTTTGGTCCCACTGTCCACAGTCTAGACCACCAGGCTGTACTATTACAATAATTACTCTTGTTTGTTTGTTTTGGGGGCCATACTTGGAGGTGCTCAGGGCTCTATGCTCTGGAATCACTGCTTAGCAGGGCTGGGGGGCCATATGTGGTACCAGAGATGGAACACGGGTAGGCCTCATGCAAGGCAAGTGCCCAGCCACTGTCCTATCGCTCTGGCCCTAGTAATTACTATTATTAATATCATTAGCATCAACGTTAATCTGACCTTGGGCACACTCCCCCTTTAAAGGGCCTCAGAACCCTTTTTAAAGGAGTGGTTCTTGGGCAGGGGGAATAAGGAGTGATTCTTAGTGTCTTTCTCCCAGTGGTCCCTGCATGCATCGCCTGGGCCCGGGGCGTCCCTACCTGCCCCTGCACGGCTGCCATCTTGTGCCTCCACCTGCCCTTGTGCAGCGAGGCCACCTTGATCCAGGTGTGCAGATGGGAGCTGAACATCCACACATCGCGGCTGTGGATGTGGCCTCCTAGAAAGAGAAGCAGCGGTCACCCCTGGAACTGCCCTCCCCCTCCCCCACCCCCAAATGCTAGAAACAAGGATTTCCATTTCAGAGGAAGAGTGAGGGCGAGAGAGAGAGCAGGAAGGGAGAGACTCAGAAGGGAGAGACTCGGAGCTGGGATCTAGAGGGGGTGGTGGGAAGGTCTGGGTTAGGGCAACAGGCAGGGAGAGAAGGGGGGGCAGGGAGAAAGAGCAGATATTCACTGTGGGGGGGCGGGGCTAGGTTCTGTGCTCAGAGAAGCAGAGAGGATCACTTAGAAGTCAAATGAAGGCAGGAGTGCAAAAGGCACCCAAGACAAGCAGGAAGGTGCTAGATGCAGAAGAAATCACTTCATGATTTCATGTTCTTCCCTCCATGCGGTGCTGGGATTACTGTGCCCAACTGACGAGGCTTAAGGAAAATGGAACGACCTGCTGAGGACTGCCTCAGCAATGGCCCCGGAGCGTCCAGTCCCCAGGCTCGACCGTGCACGTTACGGACTCTCCCTCCTGGGATTCCTGTGCAGGGGCTTATCTCTCAGGAGTATCCTCCCTCAGGACCACCCTGACTGTCTCCCTTAGCCCATGACCCACAGGATCCCTGTTTGTTGCTCTTGCTTCTGTTTATCCATACCCAGTGGCTCGTTGGCCATCCATACCCCCATCAGTGACCCTGGATAAAGGGCCCATTCATAAAATGTGGTTTGGACCCTTTCAGGGCCTCCCAACTCAGTCTTCTGCTCTTTGTCTGCCCAGGCTCTCTCCAAACATTCAGCACTGTTACCCTGGTTCTGGTGTTAATTCCTCCTCGATCTCACTCCTGCCTGTCTCATCAGCAGCAGCTTCCACTCCTGTTTGGATACTCAGAGCGCCAAATCTAGGCTTCCTTTCTGTAATGTCATGCCTTTGCCTCTGTGGTCCGTTTTTTTATTCTTGCTCTTTTTGGGGTCACACCTGGCAGTGCTCAGGGGACCATACAAGATGCTGGGAATCGAACCTGAGTTGGCCACGTGCAAGGCAAACGCCCAACCCGCTGTGCTATTGCTCCAGCCCCTGGTCCCTTTGATTTTTAAGGCCAGTCATCTGGTCCATAAAACTGGGCCAGACTTCCGACCTTGGTTGTTGAGTATTTGAACTCTGAGAGCTCCCAACCACATTGTGTCTGGTACCGGGAAGGCTCCCTGCTTCCCCCCTCACAGGTGAGCACTATTTCCCTCTGTCTCTAAGGCCTCACACAAGGAAGACACACTGCACTGGTATCAAATCCTGACTCTGAAATTTTTGAGAAAATTTTGAAACAGTGTGGAGTTGGGAGGGGGGCGGTGTTGAGGGGTGGTTACATCCAGCAATGCTCAAGGGGTACTCCTGACTCTGCACTCAAGTATCACTCCTGGAAGTGCTAAGGGGACCAGAGGGGATTGAACCCGGTCGGTCACGTGCAAGGCAAACACCCTCCCTGCTATACTGCAACCCCGCCAGTGGGAAATTCTTAACCTCTCTGGGCTGATTCTTCTCATGCATCAAATGGGGGGAGTGGATTAGAGATTAAATGATAACTAATGCAAGCTGTTGACACCAGACGTGATAAAGAGCAAAGACACTGATACGCTTTGAAACCGACATCAAGGGCAGAATCACTCCGTGACTGCAGAACTACACGCCACTTGAGCCCAGCGCTGTAGGTATCGGGAAAAACCCTGCCTCGTTTTCCCGGTTGGAGGGCAAGACCAAGGGGGCGGAGTAGGAAGGTGATTAGCCAATCCCGTGGGGGCTCCCCGCAGCCCCGCCCTCACCGGAAACGTAGACGTCGTTGCGGAGCGCGCAGGCGGCGAACTCGGAGCGCGTGTAGCCTGGCAGACTAGGCAGGGCGGTCCAGCGTCTGCTCTCCGGGTGGTAGGCGTCGGCAAAGGGCAGCGACAGGAGTCCCTTTCGGTCACACCCGCCGATGATCACGATCACTTCAGCCTGGTCCATGAACCTGGCGTGGGGATAAGCCCAAAGCCCGCTGATCCACATCCAATTTGCCGCTCTCTCACCCTTAACTGAAGGGTCCCGCTGCCTTCATGACCCCCATCCCCTGCCTGTGCTGGCTTCTGCCACGTCCAATCTCTTTTCTGGGTTAAGACGGGAAGAGGGTCACCACTCAGCACATTCTGCTGACTTCTAAGTTACAGAAAAAAAAAAAAACACAACCCCTTTGTTTCTGTTTGGGGGCCACACCCAGAGGCACTCAGGGGCCATACAGCCCTGGGGTAGAGGGTAGGGGGTTATGCTGGGAAATGCTTGGAGGAGGACAGAAATATGCTGTGCAATGAACAGGAGTTCATGCATGTAAACAATGCGTTCCAGCCCCAATGGCCCAGAAAACCAGTCTTTACAGACCCCTTACCTAGGAAAATCCCGTCATTTAATCCTCCCGATGGTCCTATGAGCTAGGGACTATTATTTCCTCCACAAACGAAACTCAAGCGAACAGTCTTTGTCAGGACAGGTGGAATTTGTGTTTGCTGCTAACCTATTTTTTTTTTTTTTTTTTTTTTTTTGCTTTTTGGGTCACACCCAGCAATGCTCTCAGGAATCACTCCTGGCGGTGCTTGGGGGACCCTATGGGATGCTGGGAATTGAATCCGGGTTGGCTGTGTGCAAGGCAACCGCTCTATCTGTCGTGCTATCACTCCAGCCCCAATATCTCTTGTCTAACCTCCTCTCCTGCCTTCTATTCCTCTCCTCCTTCCGCCTATAACCATCTCCTAAACCCATCCCTTAACCGCTAACTCTACTGAACCAGGCTCCACTTCCTTCAACAACGCGTTCTCCTCATTCACTGACCCCGCAGGTTTCTGACCCGACTAGACTCTCCAAACTGGGGGCTGGAGTGAAGTACGGCAGATAGAGCATTTGCCTTGCACACGGCTGGGCACCCCACAGGGTACCCTGAGCACTGCCAGGAGTAATTCCTGAGTGCAGAGCCAGGAGTGGCCCAACAACAACAACAGCAGCAAAAGAATTTCCAAACTGTTGGCCTGTTGAATCCAGGCGTCTCTTCCTGTTTCCCCCATCCAGCCCTGCTACTGACGACACGGTGCTCAGGGGCCCCACTCAGGCCTCCCGCTTGCAAAGTGTGAACTCTAGCTCTTTGAACCCGGGCCCAGACCCTAGCTCCCAAAGGGTCAGGGGCATTGACAAGTCACTCGACTCGGCACCAGGAGGTCAGCACTCAGAATCAGGGGCGTGATCACTGCATCTTCCCCCTTGCAGGGCAAAACTCTCAGCACCAGTCTACGAAGGTGTCGCTCAACAACCCGACCCCTCGCAATGAAATCAACGAGGGTGATCCCGCGGCAAGCGCGCGCAGGGAGCCCGGCCGGCGCGAGGCCAGGGGGCCGGGGCGGTACCTCCTGGGCCTCGCCCGCAGCGCGCCGGCCTCGCGGCCCAGGATGAAGCAGGTGCGGGCCTCGAGCAGCAGCGGGCGGCACTCGGCGCAGGCCTGCAGCAGCTCGTCGGCCTCCACCTTCTGCAGGAAGTAGGCGGGCGCCAGCAAGGGCAGCCGCACGTGCTCCAGCAGGCGCCGCAGCTGCCCGCGGCGGCCGGGGGCGTCGTGGCGCACCCAGCGCATCGCCGCCTCGAACACGGCCTCCTCGCGCGCCACGCCCAGCGACGGGTCGGCCAGCAGCGCGGCCACCTCGTCGGGCGCCAGCGCCAGGAAGTCGGCGTGGCGCGCCACCTCGGCGAACGACCGGCGCAGCACGCGGCCGCAGCGCTCGGCCAGCGGCGCCAGCGAGGAGGCGGCGCGCAGGCGGCCCTCGAGGAAGCGCGCGCACGCCTCGCGCGGCCCCGCCACGCCCAGCCGCGCGGCCAGCGCCGGCACGGCGGCCGCCTCGTCCTCGGCGCGCAGCCGCACGCCCGCGCCGTGCACGTAGTCCAGCAGCACGGCCAGCGCGGCGGCCGCCGACGCCTCGGGCGCCGCGGCCAGCACGGCCGGGCCCCCGCGCTCGGGCCGCCCGGCCGCGCCCAGCGCCGCGCGGTGGCACGGGAAGTCGCGGCCGCCGGCGCGCAGCACCACGTCCGTGAGCGGGCCCGTCCGCCGGTCCGCGTTGAGGGTCTGCAGCACGCGCTGCGCGTGGCCCGCGCCCGCGCGCGGGGCCTCGGGGCCGGCCGCCGCCGCCTCCTCCAGCATCCTGCCGAGCAGAGAAACACGGGGTTGGAAGCGAGCCTGCCCGCGGCCTGCCCGGGGCCCCAGGGCGCCAGGCCCGCCGTCCACGCATTCCTGCATTCCCTCTCTCGTCCACGCGGGCAGGCACGTGCTTGCATTCGTCCCGGGCGCTCTCCATCCAACCTTCCAGATTTCCCGACGGCTCCGGGGATCTGGGCCCTGCCCTTAGCTGGACCACCTTTTCCTTTGCTTACCTGCGTCCTAAGAACCCCAGCTCCCACGCTTGGCGTACTCACCGAACTTTTCAGTGTCACAGAGATCGATGGCCACTTCTCAAGTGAGGATGATTCATTTGGCGGGAATTAAAAGTACCTGACTGATCTGCACACGAGGCGTAGGGGGAGAGCTGTGTCACCTCTTGACCTGATTGGGGGAAGTCGGAAGCTTCCTGGAATCTACACAAAATGTCTTTATTGGGAGGGCCTTCTGATAGGGGCTGTAGACTGTTCCACTGAGAAAGGTTACACGCAGTGTGTGTGTGAGCCTACCCCTTTGTCTCTCCTCATTGATAGAGCAGGAATGAAAGTGTGGAGCACCAGGTCACTTTAAATCTAGCCCATGGAACAGGGAGCCAGTCTGAATAAGCAATGACGTGGCTGGGGTAGGGTGGAGAGGCATATGGCAGCAGATAAAAGGGAAGCCCCCAGCCCCAGCGCGCTCTCTCTCTCCCCTCCCTCTCTCCATCTCTCTGTATCTCTCTCCCTAACTCTCTGTCTCTATCTCTCTGTCTGTGTGTGTGTGTGTGTCTCTGAGCATGCACTCTGGATTCTCTCCTCTCTTCCCTGATCCCCAGGATCTGGTAGAACTGTGCACCGGGACACAGACGACCTAAGGATAGGCCCAGGCAGGGGCATAATACAGGCAGGGCTCAGATGCCCAGGAAAGCTCAGGTTCAGGCAGGCCGGATGCCCAGGTAGTGATAAGGGGCTAAGCACAAGCATCTCACGCACATGCACATGGCCATGTCCGAAGGCTAGGAAAGCCAGGACAGGATGACAGGAACTTTTGGGGTACAGTTGGGAGGCCCAGAAACAGGTACCCATGCACATGTGGCTGCGGCTGGAGACTGAGGAAAGTGTAGACAGAATAGAGTGTCATAGAAGGGGCCTGGCTGTCATTCATTGGCAATAAGTAGGCTGCATTGGACAAGACAGGGAAGCTGTTCATGGGACAGGTCAGTGTCAGGGACAGGACCGGTGGCTTTGTTCATAAGTAAAAGAGAGGCCTAGACGTGGAGAGGGACCCCAACCCACCTACTTTATCTGTACAATCAACTAACTTTCAATCTTCCAAGCTTTATATGCAAATCTTTCATACAATTCTCAAGAACCCACCAGCGCAGAAAAATCTGCTTTCCCGCTAACATCATCCCCTTCTTCCCCTCATTTCCTATAGGAGTTTCCCATTGAGCAAACCCTGAATATTCTGTTTAAATGTCTGCCCTGGTCCCAGCAGCACGTGATCTGGTTCATAGTAGCTGCTCAGTTCATTCCTGTTCAGGAAAACAAAAGCCTGTTCAAGGGGGCCAGAGTGATAGTTCTGTGGATAAAGTGCTTTCCTTGCATGCGGCCAACCTGAGTTCAGCACCCCAGCACCCCATATGGTCCCCTGAGCTCAACCCTGAGCACAGAGCACAGCTAGGTGTGTTGTTCTTTCAAAAAAAGAACAACAGCAACTCTGTTCAAGGTTATTGACAGTATTAAACAAATCATTTGCTTAGAGCCTTTTTTGTGTCGGGTGGGGAGCAAGAGAGGGATAGTCCCTACCCACAACTTGGTAGGAGCCCCCCACCCCAGGAAATGACAGAGCATTAAGGGAGCATATAGAAGGGGCACTTGTTGGAAGGAGTCAGGGGAGAAAGTTGGGAGTGGGTCTCCAAGAAGAACCCTTCAGCTTGAGGGGGATGGGTGGGATTGGCCAAGGGAAAGGAGGGTGGGATGCAGGGAGGATTCTTCAGCCTGCGCTGAGGATGGGGAGAAAGAGGACTTGAGGGGAGAGACAAAGAAAACATGACTTTTTCTGTGAGTTTTTTGTGTATTCTTCAGGAAGCATGGGTGACCTGCTAAGTGACCTGCCCATGTCTCCTTCAGTGTTCCCCTAACAACTAGAATCACATGGCCTCTTTCCTCATGGGCTGGGTGCGATTTTGCAATAGAAAAGGGGTATGTAAAATTGCTAGGGACAAAGCCACTCAAGAGGATGAGAAGGAACCACATATACTGCTAAGTGCTTTTTTGTTTGTTTTTGGCCATACCCAGCGGTGCTCAGGGCTAACTCTGGCTCGGTGCTCAGGAGTTACTACTAGCTTGGCTCAGGGTCCATATATGGTGCCAGGAATCAAACCTCAGGGGTTACTCCTGGCTCTGCACTCAGGAGTCACTGCTGGTGGTGCTCAGGAATAGAACACCATGGGTGTCAGGGATAGAACTCGGTTGGCCACGTGAAAGTCAAGGGCCTTACCTGCTGTACCATGTCCTGGGCCCTTTTAAGGACAGAATTTCCTTTGAGCCCCACAACTCTGAGAAGTTTCCTTTAATCTCCTCCTTTTTCAAGCTTTTCCTGAGATCACAAGGAGACAGGTCCTGATTTCCGAGTGATTGCTCAAAGCAGGTGCTCAAAGCAGGAGCTTAGGAAAGGCTGGCAGGCTGGCGACTGTTCTGTGGGGTTTGGCGGTAGGAGGCACCAGTGGGGGAACAGCCCAATTGTGTGTCTGCAGGCACAGGACCTGGACTACACTTGCAGGAGGGCTGAATCTCACAGAGCAGCCCAGGAGCAGCAGAAGGCAGGGAATAAGGTCACTGGATTGCCCCCACCCTCAGGCTATGTCCTAGCAAATAGGTGTCAGGGGCAGAGAGGTGGCAGGCACAGTGGAGGGAGGGCACCTCCTGGGAAAGGCACGGTACTTGGGCGCTCATTCTCTCGCCGCTACTCTGATGAGCCCAGCGGAGCTGCCGGGACATCAGACCCGGGTTGCGGGATTCCCAGTCCCGGAGCTGAGCCTGGAGGGCAGGTGGCATCTGGCCTGCTCCCACCCAGCCAAGAGGCTGGCGCCTCCAGCCCAGAGTCTCCCGGCTTGCAGCGACGGCCCCAGTCCTCTCCACTCACGCCCCACGCACACGCACACGCAAACGCACTCACAGCGGCACAGCCCTGCCCACGCCGGGGTGCGGCCCGGACTCGTAAGTCCCGCCCCGGATGTAACCTCCACTCACCTGGCCACGCCCTCGCGGTGCCGCCGCGCTCCGCCGCGCCCTCCGCGCTCCTTCCCGTCCCGGGCTGTCTGGCGGCCTGGCTGCTGCGGACAAAGGCGCCGACACCGGCGGGGAGGGCGGGAGGAGGCGCCGGCCGGGCTTTTGTTCCCCTCTAGGACCGGCCCGGGAGACGGGGGGCGGGGCACGAGGGGGATGGATGGACGAGGCCACTGCGGGGTTGGGGTGACCTGGCGTGTGCCCTGAGGGCTGATGGGTGTGAGGTTAGGTGTGCGTGTGTGTGTGTGTGTGTGTGTGTGTGTGTGTGTGTGTGTGTGGTCTGTGAGGTTCTGTAAGTGTGAGGTTGTGTGTGAAGTTGGTTGTGTGAGGGATGTGTGTATGTGTGGTGAGTTTGAGGTGTGCGTTTGGTGTGTGTGAGGTACGTGTTGAGGTGAGATTTGTGTATTTTGTGTGTTGTGTGGGAGGTGTGTGTTAAGATGTGTGAGGTTTGTGTGTTGCGAGTTTTGTGTGGTGTGTGTGAGGTTAGTGTGCGGTATGAGTCTTGTGTGGTATGTCTGAGGTTAGTGTGTTGTGTGAGTTTTGTGTGGTGTCTCTGAGGTTAGTGTATTGTGTGAGGTTGTTGTGTGTTTTGTGTGGGTGTGTGGGGTTTCTGTGGTGTGAGTTTTGTGTGATGTGAATGAGTGCTGGGGTCTATGTTTTGTGTGGTGTATGAGGTTTGTGTGTTGTGTGAGGTCGTGTGTTTTGTGTGGTGTGTGAGGTTTCTGTGGTGTGAGTTTTGTGTGATGTGAATGAGTGCTGGGATCTATGTTTTTTGTGGTGTATGAGGTTTGTGTGTTGTGTGAGGTCGTGTGTTTTGTGTGGTGTGTGAGGTTTCTGTGGTGTGAGTTTTGTGTGATGTGAATGAGTGCTGGGATCTATGTTTTTTGTGGTGTATGAGGTTTGTGTGTTGTGTGAGGTCGTGTGTTTTGTGTGGTGTGTGAGGTTTCTGTGGTGTGAGTTTTGTGTGATGTGAATGAGTGCTGGGGTCTATGTTTTGTGTGGTGTATGAGGTTTGTGTGTTGTGTGAGGTTGTTGTGTGTTTTGTGTGGGTGTGTGAGGTTTCTGTGGTGAGTTTTGTGTGATGTGAATAAGTGCTGAGATCTATGTTTTGTGTGGTGTATGAGGTTTGTGTGTTGTGTGAGGTTGTGTGTTTTGTGTGGTGTATGAGGTTTCTGTGGTGTGAGTTTTGTGTGATGTGAATGAGTGCTGAGATCTATGTTTTTTGTGGTGTATGAGGTTTGTGTGTTGTGTGAGGTTTATGTGGTATGAGTGAGGTCTGTTGTGTGAGTTTTGTATGGTGTGTGTGAGGGTTGTGTGCTGTGTGAAATTTGTGTGGTGTGAGGTTTGCGTGTTGTGTCTGTGTTTTGCGTGCTGTGTGTACACAGGATGTGACTGAGGTGTGTTGCATGCACATGCTTCTGCCCCAGGGACTTGTAGTATAGAGACATTGCAGGAACTGTGTGTGGGTGCTGGGGCTGTGGGCATGGCAGGGTGACAAAAGGCTGGACTTCTCAAGACAGCCACCTGTCCCCTGCTGGATGAGGGACAGAGACAGACACAGTGACACAGACTGTCACTGTGGGATTCCCTGTGCCTGGCTGGGTCTCGAGCATCAATCTTTGTCTGCTAGTTCACTGCTCTGTGTGACAGTTGTGGGGGACCCAGTGCTTTTCAGATTGGGGGAGGGGTTTCACTCAACAAAGTCTGCCTCGTCAGAGCTGGCTCAGAAGCAAGGGGATACTGGGGGGGAGCAGGAGGTGACTCTGGGCTGGCTTAGCTTGCTGGAGCCAGAGGAAGGCACCCCTCTACCCATCCCTCCAGGCTGCCACTGAATCCTTCCCACCTCTGCAAGGCACTGGGGGCCAGCGTCTGTAACGGAGGCTGAGGAGACCTCTCTTCATGAATGAGGAAGTAGTTTGGGGAAAGCTCCTTGAGGCAGGTCACTGCACCCCAGGGCCTCTGACTCCTCCTTCTGACAGGAGGGATCCTGAGGTTTCTGCTCCTGGGGTTGTCAGGCTAAAGATGGTATGTGGATATAGCCACGTGTCCTGCAGAGCCTCCCCTCACGAAAGTCCTAGGGCTCTGGCAGGCAGAGGTGAGGAGAGAGCTTTATTTTGAGGGGTCATGATGCAGCCAAGAGGTTTTAAGGCGTTGGAATGATTGTACAGTAGGGCACTTGCCCTGTATGCAGTTGACCTAAGTTCGATCCCAGCACCACGTATGGTCTAGCAAGCCGACCAGGAGTGATTTCTTGAGCACGGAGCCAGGAGTAAGCCCTGAGCGATGCCAGGGGTGGTCCCCCCCCCCAAACAAAAAAAAAGTACAAAGAAGAGGTTCTGAGTCCTAGTGCCTTCCCAGCAGCCAGCACCCTATCTTTCCTGTAAAGAAGGTTGTGTGACAGTGTGTGAGCGATCAGGACCTCGGTGTTTCTGTGCTTGAGAGGCCGCCCTGGGGTTCAGGGGTCCTGGAGCAGGTGGCAGGAAGGCTGGGCCTGAGGGAAGGGGAAGGGTCGGTGCTGGGGGCGTGGGGCTTATTTCCTATTTCCCTGTCCAGGGTCTCTCGGTCTGTCCAAGACAAGGAAGTGACTGGGGGGGGGGGTACTAGGAATTTTGGGGTTCTCAATAATCCATCCCTCACATCGGGGAGAGGGTTGACAATGGCTTAGCTGAGGATGCACAGGGAAGTCCTACCGCCAGCAATGGGGTGGTCTTCCCTGCTTTGTTAGGCACTGGGGAGCGTAGGGTCCTGGGAAAGCTGGATTCCAGCTCGCTGTGGTCCCACCACTCCCAGGCCTCCGCCTCCTCCAGAACACCCTAATGTCGCCACAAAGGGCTCCCTCCACTTCTGCTTGTGGAGCTAGAGACCACCCTTGACCTCTCCTTCAGGAAGAGAAGCTCTAGACAGATGTTCCACAGGGGCCAAGGAAGACAGGTGGATCCCCTAATTCCCTGAGGGGCAGTCTTGAGAGGTTAATGGCCTGGGAGGGTGGTTCTGGGTTCCAACATCTGGGAGAAATTTTCTTTTTACTAAGTTGCCACCAGACCCAGGAATTTTATGCAGAAGACCCCCGCTAGAGAAGAGCCACGTCCCTTGGCTCCTGGGAAGCACCATGTTTATTGCATGCAGCGGGAGCTGGGGTCCTGGCTCCCCTTAGCCTTGAGGACATACTCAACACTGCAGACTTAGAACGGGGGGTGGGGGCCTGTTTCAGCTGAGAGACCCCCTGCACATTGCTCAGAATGAGGGTACGCTTTCTTTATGAGGACCCTCATCGACGGCAATGGGGGAGGTATCTGCTGTCGAGAGCTGGGCCTCCCAGGCCAGGGGTGCAGAATGACTCCCCAGAATGACCCGTCACAGTTCCCAGATGAGGATGCCAGGGAGCTGACCCAGGCCCTCCCTGCACTTCCCAGAAGGAGCCCCAGGCCTGCAGGGGCTCCTGAGGGGTTGGAGTCCTGGCCCATCTGGGCCCCAGGGGAGAAGGAAGCCCCCATCGGAAGAAGCCATGAGGGGCTGGCTGGTCCCCATGCCAGTCCAGAAGCCCCCAGTCATGCCCAAGGTCCTGCATCCTGGCTATACCAGCCTAAGCTCTGTGGCCCTGGATGGTCACTCATTCCTAAAAGATCATCTCCCCTCCCTACCCTCAGAGGTGCGAAGGAACTCCTAGCGTGCCTTGGCGAGGGAGGGCAGGGGGCTCAGCCACTCTCCGGGTCTCGGGGAAAATGCTCAGAGCTATAGCAAGAGCCTGATCCAGCCCACCCTGTCCTCCCAGTCCCCAGCCCGCACGTGGAGATTCAGGGACGACACATGTCAAGATGGCAGCTTTAATCATGGCCGAGGCCCTTGGGATCCCCCAGTACAGGCCACCTTGTCCACGCTCAGGACACCTTTCCCAGGTGGCACCTGACCCATGGACACGGCTGTGGAACCTGAGGTCATGTCAGTCCGCGGAACTCCAGGCCCTTGTAGCTGGGCTGGATCTGGGCAGGGGCGGGGGGCGGCCCTGAACTCCCAGGCGATGTGGCCACTCCCGGGGCAGGAGCCAGCGTCCTCCTGGGCCGCAGCTCCTTGTGCTTTGAGACTGGCGTGAAGAGCAGCAGCGCCGGGGGCAGGGGCCCAGCCCAGGCCCTCAGGCAGGATAAAAATGGGGGAGTTGCTGCCTCACAGCATGGACAGGAAGACAGACACATGGGCACAGAGGGGCCACTTCCATGGCAATAGGGGCCTGGGATGGCCCAGTGACCCGTCACAGCTCCCAGATGAGGATGCCAGGGAGCTGACCCAGGCCCTCCCTGCACTTCCCAGAAGGAGCCCCAGGCCTGCAGGGGCTCCTGAGGGATTGGAGTCCTGGCCCATCTGGGCCCCAGAGGGAGAAGGAAGCCCCCATCGGCAGAGGCCACGGTTCCTAGGGGGCTGGAGTTGTGAGGAGATGCCGCAGCTTCCCGGGTGCTCGGTCCTCACGCAGCCCGGGCTCCACGTTGGCACAGACGCGCAGGTGGGTCCTCAGCTAAGGCCCGCTCCGGTCTGTGAGGGGCTTGGCGCGGCCGCTCCTCCGGGGCTCCACAGAGGCGGTGCTGCTGCTGGCATACGTGTCGTAACTGTTGTCTGAGCCCATGGAGAGCTCATCGGAGACCTCCATGCCATCGCTGATCTCTGCTGGGCCAGATGAGCAGGGCATGAGCTGGGGGAAAGGGGGACGGGTAGGGGGAAGGGTGGCCAGCAGGAACTCAGGGGAACTGGAGGCAGTCAAGCCTGCGTTGGACTCGGCATTCGGGGTTCCCCTTGGGCTCTCTCCTACCCTCTAACCTTACCCCAGCCTCCTTTCCCCTGGAATGTCAAATGCACCCCCTTGAGTCTGGCACCCACATATTTACTTTGTACTTAAAGGCCCCTCTCTTGGGAGGGTCTCCCCCCCACACACACACACACCTCTTTTCTGAAGCTTTTTCTCACATTGCTGTTACTGGCTATGCTCAGGGCTTACTTTTGGCAGTGTTCAGGGGACCGTGTGTGGTGCCAGGGATGGAACCCACATCGACCGCATGCAAAGGCAAATACCCTGTTCCCATCCCGCCAAATTCTTATATCGAGTTCTAACCCCAGTATTTTTTATTAAGAAGTAAATTCACTGCCTGTAATGGGCTAAGAGGAAGTCCTCAAGGTTGTGGGTCCCTATCTAGTACGGCTGGTGTGTCCTCATAGAGGGGAAATCTGGGTACAGACCTGCATGGTGGGAGAAGACCGTGGGAATATAAGAGGGACTGTCTATGACCTAGGAGGGGAGGACAGGGCTGGACTAGTCACTCCCCTCCAACCCTGCTGACACACTGGTACTGGATTCAGTCTGCAGAACGGTGAGACCATAATTTCTCTTGGCCGCATCACTCATGTCTGGCCCCTTGCTATAGCCTGGTCGCCAGAGCAGCCATCGACAGACCTACCCATGATCCTCTTCTCTCATGTCCATGGCCTCACCCATCCCACCCATGGTGGACAGCCAGAGGTCACACGCAGAGATAGTTCTTGGTACTCCGCAAGCAGTGCTCCCTCAAGGGTGCTGATGCTTATTCTTCCCACCCCAGAACATCTCTTCCCTTCCCTCTGCAGTCCCAGCCCTCCTTCCTACCCATCGTTCCCATTTCAACCCTTCACCACCTTTGCAGTGGCCCTAAACCTTCCCTCATGTCCCAAGAAGCTGTGAGTACTCTCCGTAAATCTGCTGTGTTCCAGCACCCCTGTTAGAACTCTCATGACGCCCCATTCCCACGTATTCATTTATCCAGCTGCCTCCTGCACTGGGCTGGAGCGATAGCACAGCGGGTAAGGTGTTTGCCTTGCAGGCGGCCAATATGGCCAACCCGAGTTCGATTCCTCCGCCCCTCTCAGAGAGCCCGGCAAATTACCGAGAGTATCTCGCCCGCATGGCAAAGCCTGACAAGCTCCTCGTGACATATTTCATATGCCAAACACAGTAACAACAAGTCTCACAATGGAGATGTTACTGGGCCCGCTCGAGCAAATCGATGAATAATGGGAGGCCCGTGACTGTGACCTCCTGCCTTAGACAGGGAATCTCAATAAAATCAGCATTCAATGGCTTTCAGGCGAGGCCTCCAGAGCAGACTCCTCCCTGCACACTTCCCAGGCCCCCCAGACCCTGGTGCTAACACTGTACTGTGTTCCTCCCTCTTGTGTGACTGTGACTCCCCCACCGCACCATCACCACCACCACCAAGAGCCTGTGGAAGGTGCAGACACGAGTCCAGGGCCTGTGTCAGTGGGCGGCAGGCTGCACACCTGAGAAAATGAGCTTCTCCTTCATGATGCTGACGTCCCGGCTGGTCCGGCGCACAGCTGCACTCAGCATGATCTGCTCGGGGTTGTAGCTCCGGATGCCCCCCAGGCGCCACCTGCAGAGATGGCCCCAAGGACATCAGGTCCCCCCTGCCCTTCCCAGGAGGAGACTCCAGAGCCGCTCTGGACTGGGCCTGAGAAACCAGCAGGACTCTTGTCTGACTATCTAGATGGGGAAACTGAGTCCAAGAGGAGGGCCACATGGGGCCTAAATTTGAGCTCCCTTTCTCCTCAGACCCCGAAATTAGCTCCTCTGGCCCAGGAAGATGACCGGGAGCCAGTTGGTGTGTCTCAGGTGCCCTGTTAGACACCTGACCCTCTTGGCATGGGCAGATTTGGGAGCTTTTAGCAGGCAGGACTCTGAAACCCACCCTGGCTTCATACCAATCTCGGGGAGCCCAGAAGATGTTCTCTCTAGCGCCATCATCCTCACCTGGCTGAGTGACGCCAGAGGGTAGATCCCAGTGAGAAAGTGGAGGAAAGAGGGGAGGTGAAGGGAGAGGGGGAGGCAGGGCGGAAGCGGGAGGTGGGGCTGCATGGTGGGGGGAGGGCGGACACAGGCAGAGACACTGCCACTTCCTGTTCCAGAGCCTCAGGACATGCCCCTGACCTCTGACCTCCGGAGGTAGGCTTTTCCTGGGACTGAGATCATCTATTCCCTCTCCCAGCAATCCAGGGGCCAGTCTGGAAACTGAATTCAGCCCTCCTAGGACCCTGAGTCCTGCTCGGGGTGGGGAGTGGACGAAACCGAGACCCTCGGGAACAGTCCACTCTTTCCAGATGGGTCAGGAGGGGGAAGCGCACAGATAGACAGGCAGATGGGTGGATAGACAGGCAGACAAGGGAAAGCAGGAGGCTGAGGGGAAGGCCAGCCTCCCTATGAGCTGGGGGACAGCCATGGAGTCACTGGACCTGTCACTGCATCCACATAACCTCAACACCTGCCTTGAGCCTAAGCATACTTGAGTGGGTGAAGAAATGACTGTCAGCCCCAGTGTCCCGTTATCCCTCAGGACTCTCCCGGTCCCCAGGAGGACAGTGACAGCCCCACTGCCCTGCACAAAGGCCTGACTCCATCCTGCAGCAGCACATGCGGGGACTGTCCCCCCTGCGTGGCTCCATCCCAGCGAATCCCTCTGAGATGCAGGGCCCAGGGAGGAGTCCCAAGACCCAGACATCCCCGTGAAAATGGACAAGCAAGCTGGAAGGAAGGAAAGTGTCAGTCCCTGGAACATCTAGGACAGGAAACTCCCCCAGGGAGGGGGGCTCTCCTGAGGAAAGCAGGGCTGGGGGTGGGGTGGAAGCCAGAGACACAGAGAAACAGAGAGATGGAAAGATTGAGAGAGGAGGATACAGACAGAAGAGGCAGACAGATAGGGGAGAGAGAAGCTGGTCGGGGTGCAGGTCCCGTGGTGCCAGGCTCGGCTGGGGTGGGCATCTGCAGAGCGCTCAGAGGGAAGATGCTCTGGCAGGGGGAGGCTGGGTCAGCCAGATGCCGGGGAAACACCCGTTCCCCATGCCAGCAAGAGCAGGCAGGACAGAGGTGCCAAAGGAAGGAGAAGGGAGGGCTTGCAGGGGTGGGGAGAGCAGGGGGGAAGAGATAGGGTGTCTGGGAGGATGACCCCGTGAGTGGGTCAGATGGGGCACTGCAGAAGGGGTGGCCAGAGGGGGTGGGGAGAGAGGACAGAGGAAGACACCAGAATTACCTGATCAAGTGATAGCTGTGAGATGCCAGAGTGCAGCAGGGGTGGGGAGAGAGAGGGGGGACATGCAGGTCAGAGCGTGTGGGCAGAGAGAATGCCCGAGTCAACACCAGAGCCCACCCGGGACTAGGTCAGCCCACCCCGACCCCCGCGGGAACCCGCACCGCAGCCCGGAGGGAGGATGAGGAGACAGGCTCTGCAGATGGGGAACTTGCCAACGGTGCTGGGCTCCCACCCTGGTGCTCCTTCCAGAAGCTGCCAGTTGTGGAGAAGGATGGGCTGCGGTGGGGCGGTGGGCGGGGGGGGGGAGGCGGGGAGTCCTCCAGGCCATCAGATCAGGCCTGGCCCAGGACTAGGGGCCCATCACATGTCTGGGGCAGGGAGGGCTGAGGGGGGAGGGTAGAGCCTACTCACTTCTGGAACACGAAGATGCCAATGATGAGGGTGAAGGAGATAAGGTCAGCGGTGACCCACATGAGACAGTACTCGTCCGGGGGCTGTGGACAGATGGCCGTGGCCGCACCCAGTCATGATCAGCCCAGGCTGGGGCTCCAGACTACGGGGCCACACAGGAAGACCCCAGATCACCCTCCAGGAAGGTTGGGAGGAGTTAGAGGGAGTGTAAGTGGGGCTTGAGAGTGGGTTCTGGGCCACCGGGCTGTGCATGTGGAGGGCATGTGGTATTACATGGGCTGTGTGCAGGATGATGTGTGTAGGAGATGTGTGTATGTTAGTATCTGTGTATGGTGTGTGATATGTGGAGTTATATATTTGTGTGTGGTGTCTGATATGTGTGTACTTGTGGTGCATGGTATTTGTGTGGTGTGTGTGTGTGTGTGTGTGTGATGTGGTGTGATGTATATGCACACACGACTAAAGATCTGGACAGTGTGTGGGTTTGTGGCTAAGGGACAAGAAAAAGAAATCAGTGACTGGGTGAGTGTGACTGTGTGGCAGATATGGGTGTGGGTGTCCCTGTAGATGTGAGTCCGTGTGTCACTGAAGGCCGGAGCCATGAGGCTGCCCCTTTGAGGGTGCCTGCAGGGATGAAGCCCACCGGGAGCCAGGCTGAGGCAAGCCTGCACGGTGGACAGGATCAGCGCCAGGTGCACTGTGTTCTGGTGTCCGAGGGCTGGAAAATTCTAGCGTGCTTGTGACTCTAGCCACCAGGGACCACTGTCATCCTGTCTCCAGCTGAGCATCCCCTGGGCCTCAAGGACAGTGTCATGACCACCCCCAGCCTCCACGAATTCTGATCCAGACCTCCTTGATGTTTCCTCCTGGGTCAGTTCTAGGTGTGCCCCAACCCCACCTCCCAGTGTTCCTGCAGGCCCAGAGACCATGAAACTCTGCCACAATTCAGCCTGAACCCCCACTATGCATGGCCCCAGCCTGACCCCACAGCAAGAGAGCCCCAAGAGGCGGGGGTGATTCTGTCATCCCTTTCCCAGCCTCTATCCTATTCCCCACAGACACCCCCCCCCAACTCACCAGCATCCAGAGGGGGGAAGGCACCTGGGCCAGTGTGTGGGAGTTGTCGGAGGTGACAGACGGGACCCCAGCGCACCAGAGCAAGGAGAAGAGCCATGGCGCGTTGACCGTGTAGAGATTTACACTCAGGTTCCAGGAGGCATAATCCCTGTGGGACACAGAGAGGGGCAGGGGTCGGCGGCCCCAGCCAAGGAAGCTGAGGGCCTCTTCCTAGACTCATGCTCCCCGTGCACCCCGCTCCCAGGAAGGGGACACTCTCCCAGCCTCAGCAAGGGACTCAGTGCTGCCCTCTTCTGGTGAGCCTGGGCAGGGCAGGGCAGGCACCTGAGCTCCTGGCGGGACACCTGAGTATAGCGCAGGTTCAACCACTGGATGTGGCCCTTCCTCAGGTTGGCGGCCGCCTCCTTGGAGCCTGAAGTCTGCTGGAAACCGGGGGCCACCTTCTGCACAAAGGACCTCTGTGTGTTTGGCAGCCACATGACCTGCCGGCAGGAGAGGGAGGTGGAGTCAGGTTTCTCTTCCAGAAAGTGGACTTGGAGCGCTTCCCTGCCAAGTGCTGGGAAGGTTATGAGAGATGGGAGCTGACACGCAGGGAAAGCCTAAAAGCAGGGATCATCTGGGTCCGCGGGGACATCGAGCTATTAAAGTGCCCATCACCAGGCTTGAGAGAGAGCCCCAGAGGCTGAGCTGAGTGCATGCTTGGCATGTAAGAGACCTGGGTTCAATCACTGCATGGTCGGTCTCCCCTGACCACTACTGGGGGTAGCCCTTAAGCACCAGTGGGTATGGCTCACAAATAATATGTTTTTTATTACAAATAATAGAAAATATTTTTATATTTTTTAATATATTTTTTACAATAATATATTTTTATATTACAAATAATATTAAAAAAAACCTGCATCACCAGCCCGAGGCTCTGACTTCAATCCCTGGTACCTTCAAATATACAAAGCATGCCATACTAGGACCTCTGTTCCCTACAATCTCAGGCACGGAGAGCAACTTCTAGCCCCATTACAACAAAGAGATAGGGACAGCAGAGCAACAAAAAAGATGTGCAATATCTACCCCCCCTGCACCCCCTGCCAGGGATGCAGTGCTGGTGAGTGTGTGAGCAAAAGGGGGGTGAAAAAAGGGGAAAAAAGAGAAAAGAAAACAACCCAGGTGCGCACAAACAAGACAACCAAAGAAACAACCCTCAGCTAGTACTGTGGCCAAGGGTGCAAGCGTGATTTGCACCACCTGATTTGCAACTCCTGCGGGGAACAAAATCCAGGCTGCGCACGCACAGCCAGCATGTGCTGTATGCTGTACTGCACACAGCACATCAGCATGCACTCCGCTCCAAAAAGGGAAGGGAAGTGGGGACAAGGGGATTTAAGTATACGGGCGGGTCTCTCGCTCTGCAGCAGCTCAGGAAATTTCCCCTCTGAACTCAGAGATTATCCATCCAAAGGCAAATGACCTCACAGCACCAGCGCCCTTGTGTCACAAGCTACTTTTATTTGGATACTGATTCTCAAACTCCTGACCCACATGATGTGTGGCTTTAAGACTGCTATGACAGTGTTCTGTAGAGCCCAGAAATGTGCCTGCCTCTTGTGCACTTTATTTGTGCTGCTGAAGAATCAAATCCACGCAAGGCCAGTGCTTGATTGCTGAGCCACATCCCCGCTGAGCCACATCCTCTATGTGCATTCCAAAGGGCTCCCTCCTGCCTCTCTTGTCCCCAGAATGACCCTCTCAGGGAAGTGAGTGGCACGCTATCCCCATGTCCCCCGTGTTCCAAACAAGACAGCTGAGGTCGGCTTGGGGGCGCTGGAGGGGCTGCCTGCGGTTGAGGCTGGAGCAAATGCTCAGCCAGGGGGTGGCTCCAGGGACTTCTCAGGGCCGCGACTCCCCCTGGGTGTCTGGGGGGCGTGGCTCCCGGAGCCCGAGCCACTCTCAGGGGGCGTGGCTCCCGGAGCACGTGTCTCTCGGGGGCGTGGCCCCAGGGGCAAGTCTCCCCTATTGTGCTTGGGGCGTGGCTCCCGGAGCACGTGCCTCGGGGGGCGTGGCTCCTGCAGGGGGCGTGGCTGGTCTGGGACTCACCTGGTGCTGCGGAAAACCTGAGCGCAGCAAAGCCTCCAGGGTGATGTTGAGGAAGCTGCCCCGGTAGGGGTGCTCCCTGGGCAGTTCCCGCAGGTTGAGTAGCAGCGTGGCATTGCCCTTGGCCAGCTCCAGGAGTTCCGCAAGGCTGCAGATGGACTGGTTCCGAGCCTCCCTGTGGTCAGCGGGCGACAGCGAGCTGGCCGTCCAGAAGGGGTCCGTCTGGCAGAGAAGGGACACACACGGCTGTGTCACCCGTCCGTCCTTTGACGGTCAGCCGGGCCTTGACAACCTGCTATGGAGACTCGCGAGCTGCCCGGGCCGACTGGTGGCCGCGTGTCAGGCAAATTGCTGACTCTGGCCAGCTCTCTGGGGGTCCTGGGGCACCCCTCAACCCAGACCTCTCCATCTCATGCCCTGCTTACCAAAAGGGTGGTTTGCTCAGCACCCCTCTCAGGCCCTGGTCCTCCCTTCTCCTTGGGTAACAGCAGGTCAGAGAACCAACCACCCTCCTGACCCGGTTCAACCACGTCCCCCACCTGCGCCCCCTAGTGGAGAACAACCACAACAGGCAACCGTGAGACCCTGCCCGCGGGCGGGCGGGAACTGGGGCCACGGGTGGGGGGCTGGACGAGGGCCACCAGACCTTGAGGAACCACTGCCCGGCGTTGAGCCTCTGCAGGACCGTCCAGTTGAACATGGAGGCTGGCCTGCGCGCCAGCTCCGGGAACTCCTCCTCCACGTTGGTGGTTCGCCGCAGGGTGGGGTCGTGCATGAGGAAGGGCACGCCGTCCAGGCTGTGGAAGGGGGTGCCCGGTCACTGCCCAACCGTCCCCCACCAGCTCCGGTTACCATCCTCATCATCCCTCCTCCTCCCCAGGCCCTTAAGCCCACTCAGAACAGCCCCGGCAGGCCCGGAGCCCCGCTGACTCTCTGAAGCTGAGAAGGTGGGAGGACCCGCCAATTCTCTAAGCAACCCAGAGCGCCCGGACTTCCTCATCTGAGAAAGGAGAAACTGAGGCTGGGAGGAGAGACCTAGCTTGAGCCAGTATGTGGTGGAAGCCGGAGTAGAACTGGCCACAGGACTCCCTAGAGAATGTCTCAAGTGCACTCCCCTGGGACACTTCCAGCTCCCAGCACCATCCTGCATCCCATCATTGCAGTAGCCCACTCTGAACGAAGGCTTTGCTTCTTCAAGACATGCTGCCACCATCCATAGAAAGCTTTGATGGACATGCTGCCACCATCCATAGAAAGCTTTGATGGACTGCATCTGCAGTCCCACAGTGTCCACAGACACAGGTGCCCTTATTCCATGCACAATCTGGGCAACTCTACACATCAAGTCCTGCTCCCCAGGGAGAATGCTATGAGCCTGCTGGTGTTATTCTTTTTACCCTTTATATGAATGCATATTTATGTATCTGCATGGACAAGATGCCCAATTCACTCTTGTTTAATATTTTGTTTGGGGGCCACCCTCTGGTGTGGTCCAAGGGCTATTTTTGGTTCAATGCTTGGAGGTTGCTCCCCATGGTGCTCAAGGGACCGTGTGGTACTGGGGATGGAACCCCGGCCTCCCACAGGTGAGGCATCCATTGCAGCCGCTGAGCTGTTGCTGAAGCTCCAGATAATCTTCTAAGATCTAATCACTACCACAGTGGCGTGGCAGCTCCAGTGATGTGGAGCTACTTCTTCCTTTTTTTTTTTTTTTTTTTGCTTTTTGGGTCACACCCGGCAATGCACAGGGGTCACTCCTGGCTCTGCGCTCAGGAATTACCCCTGGCAGTGCTCAGGGGACCATATGGGATGCTGGGAATTGAACCCGGGTTGGCCGCGTTCAAGGCAAACGCCCTACCCTCTGTGCTATCGCTCCAACCCCTGAAGCTACTTCTTGCTGAGCCCGAGACAAGTCTGTCCTCCCAGCGGATCTATGGCACGTCTCCATGCCCCGACCCTACTTCACCCAGGAACATCTGTTCTCTTAGCTCGTGGATATCGATCGTGAAGTTTGGAACTGGGCTTATTTGCAAGAACAGGCTGCCGCTTTGCATGCTGTGGTGAACCCAAACCTCTGTGCTCTCCAAGGCACTGGGTCTCTCACCCAGAAGCAGATGCTGAGGGGTACAGGAGGAGGGGCGGGGCATGAGGAGGACGGTCCTACCTGATGGTGACGTCAGCCTGGAGCCCGTACAGTTTCTGTTCCAGGGCCTTCCGGAAGGACATCAGTGTGTGCTCAGGGGCGAGCTGGGGGATAAAGGGAATGAGGTTAGCAGATATGCTCTGGGTGTAGTGGGTCTACTCTGGGTGATCTCCAGGGATAGGGATCTACTCCAGGTGTAGTGGATCTACTTTGGGTTTAGTGGATCCACTCTGGGTATAGTGGACCGACTCAACAAACTGTGTGGTGGGTCTACTCCAGGTGTAGTGGATCTACTCTGGATGAGCTCCAGGCATAAGGATCTATTCCAGGTATAGCGGGTTTAATGGATCTGCTCTGGGTGTAATGGATCCGCTCTGAGTATAGTGGCTCTACTCAGGGTGTAGGGGACCGACTCGGGGTGTAGTAGATTTACTCCAGATAGTGAATGGATCAACTCCGCACCCGAGAGGCTGTGGGGCGCTGTTCCAGCTCCTCTAAGCAGGCATGTGTGGCAGAGTGAAGGACGGACACCAGCCCCAGGACAGGGATATGCGCCCTGCCTTGCCAACACAGTTACATGTGGGCAGAACCCCAATGGTTCTGCAGATCCACAAACACTCGGGACCTTCATGCAGTCGGGCTCTGGTTCCTCACCTGTTAAATCCCTGCCTCACAGGGTTTCTGGGCGGTGGGGGGGGGGGAGGGTTGGTGAGGGAGACAGAGGTGGTCAGCGGTGATGTACTCAGCACAGAGCTGTCACTTAATGAGCAGCAGCAATGGCCACTGTCATGTTGTGGCCGTTGGGCTTCTGGACAGCCTCTGCCCTGCTTCCTCCTGCTTCTCCCTGAGTGCGGGGAGCTCTCGGAGGGGAAGGCAGTGTTTCAGTGTAGAGCTTCTCCATCTATACAGGCATGACAAGACCATTTCCTCGACTGTTTTTCTTGGGCGTGGGGGTGGGGAGGGTTGAGGGACCATACCCAGTGGCACTCAGAGATCCCTCCTGGCAGTACTTAGGGGACCCTGTATAGTGCTAGAGATTGAACCACAGCTGGCTGCGGGCAAGGCAAGCACCTGAACCCCCATACCATCTCTCTGGCTCTCGATGTCCTGGATTTTTACAGTTATTAGTGTCTAGTACGCTGCCTGCTATCAATAGTGATTATTAAAGGACAACTCTTGGGACTGGAGTGATAGCACAGCGGGTAGGGCGTTTGCCTTGCAGACGGCCGACCCGGGATCGATTCTCAGCATCCCATATGGTTCCCCCGGCACCGCCAGGGGTAATTCCTGAGTGCATGAGCCAGGAGTAATCCCTGTGCATTGCCGGGTGTGACCCAAAAAGCAAAAAAATAAATAAATAAAAAATAAAGGACAACTCTCAACCCTTCAGCATCCAAAGACTGATTCTAGGCCTGCAGATGTCACTAGCTTCGTCCCCTGGGGTGCATCTCTTTCTACTACATGTCCTGTTTGTCTCAGGTTGCTTTCTGTTGGGAGAGTCCCTGGTGGACGTTCTAAGCCTGCCCCATCCTGAGTCACGTCATACCCCAGGATGCCACTAGGGGGCAGCATCACACCTAGGATTGAGCCAGCTCAGGGCACCTGCGGGATATTAAGACAGGCAAGGAGGACTCGGGGCACTGAAGGACAGGGGTGAAAGGGTTCTGCAGGCTCTCCCCTTTCCCACCCAGGACATGCTCATTTCCATCTTCTCCCCCTCTGTTGCTCCCCAACATGGGATACACACCCATCAGCCTGGCCCTAGCATAGGCCGAGGGGGAGGAGATCTACTTCCAGGTCACACCTGGGTCTTCACCTCCCATTTGGGTCCCAGGGTCTTCAGCTGGACAGGGACTGATTTGATCAGCGCTGAGATAAGGACTTCTGCAATCTCTGATGTGAGCCCCTGTCTCCTCAGATGGGGCACATCAGCCTTGGGAGGTCCCACTACCTGTGTTGTGTCCCAGTCAAGCGAGCTGTGTGGTCCCTCTAAAGCAGTGGGCCCAGATGCCTGACAGTGGACTCCTCTCCTTCTAGAGCTGGGCATGCCCCAGGTGGGAGCTCCAGAGGGCAGCTGAGAGGACACGAGGGGCACAGAGGAAGGCTCAGGAGGGTCGGTTCTCTTTCCGGATGTTTTTATCTTTTGTTTTGTTTTATTTTGTTTGGGGGCCACACACCAAGTGATGCTCAGGGTTCACTCCTGGCTCTGCAACAGGAATTATTTCTGGTGGTGCTCAGGGGGCCCTATGAGATGCCAGGGGTCGAATACAAGCCAGCCGCATGCAAGGTGAATGCTTTACCCGATGTACTATCACTCTGGCTCCTGTTTTTTGCTGTTTCATGTTTGGGCCATACCCAGCGATGCTCAGAGGTTACTCCTGGCTCTGCGCTCAGGAATTACTCCTAGTGGTGCGCATGGGGGCCATATGGGATGCTGGGGATGGAACCCGGGTCAGCCACGTACAATGCTTTACCCGCTGTCCTATCACTCTAGCCCCCTGGATGTTGTTAAAACTCAGGTCTCTGTGGGTTAGGCGCAGACCTCCTGGAGGAAGTAGTGCGGAAACCAGGCCTGCGCATCTGCCTCAGACTCCAGGACGGATCTGCAGTGAATATTTAATCATCATCTTGGGGCTCCCTAAGTCCCGGTGGACTCCTGGAGTAAGTTTGTAGTGGGGGGGTGGGTGACAGTCACAAACTTGGGAGGGTCGGCCTCCGGGGTTAAAAGTCTCAACAATGGGGCTGGAGTGATAGCACAGCGGGTAGGGCGTTTGCCTTGCACGTGACCGACCCGGGTTCGATTCCCAGCATCCCATATGGTCCCCTGAACGCTGCCAGGAGTAATTCCTGAGTGCAGAGCCAGGAGTAACCCCTGTGCACCGCCGGGTGTGACCCAAAAAGCAAAAACAAACAAAAAAAAGTCTCAACGATGGGGGCTGGGGAGATAGTACAGTGGGCAAGGTGTTTGCCTGGAACGTGGCAGACCCAGGTTCGATTCCCGCCATCCCATATGGTTCTCCGAACTCACAAGAAGTGATCCCTGAGCACAGAGTCAGGAGTAACCCTTGAGGACAGCCCGGTGTGGCCAAAAAGAAAGAAAGAAAAAAAAAGGCCCCAACTCTAGAGTTAGTCTGACCAAATAGTAAGGCATAAACACACAAGCACATGCACTCACATGCAGATGAACACACACAGAGAAACAACGTGCCCACGGGCACACAGCATCACCCCCAGGACAGGGACGTGTACCCTGCTTGGCCGCACACCAGTGTGTGCACACAGACTCCAGGCGTTCTGCGCAGCTACTGGCCACACACTGATATCCGTGCTTCCTCAGTCACACTCGGAGCAGCCAGGCTGGACGCGCAGGCCGTCAGACAGTGACTCGCGAAATGCTACAGGACAAGTGACTCAGCTACTTGAGCCCAGAGACTGTAAGGGAAAGGACAGGGGCTGTTCGAGACTCGCAGACACCTCGAAGACACCGACCAGATGCATGTGTGGACACATTAGGCAATAGGAAGGAATTATTATTATTCATTTGCTTGGCTGGAATAGCAGCCTGGGGGGTGTGATTATGTTAAGAAAAATGTTATTAAAGAGGCTGGGGATGGAACCCAGGTCTCATGCCTGCAAGGCCTGTACTTTTCCACTGAGCCACATCCCAGCCCTCTTTCTGAGCCTATTTAGAAAATAGGCACCTTAAGGCCCCAGGTGCCTGGGAAAGGGCCTGGGGGATGACTCCGAGGCACCCCTTCTCCCCACAGTTATTTGGGGAGGTCCCCTGAGCTATCCTGAACTCGGACACACCAAAGAACTCCCAGTCATTGGGAAAGAGAGGGGCCGAAGAGATAACGTAGCCGGTAGGGTGCTTTTCTTGTGCAGCAGACCCAGGTTCGATCCCTGGCACCCATATGGTCCCCCGAACCCAGTCAGGAGTGGTCCAGTCAGGAGTGGTACACACACACACACACACACACACACACACACACACACACACACACACACACACACACGGAAGAGAGACGCTCACGGCATCCTCTATCGCCCCCTAGGGGTGGGGAACGGCACTGCATCCTTCAGAACCCAGGAGGCTGGGCACAGGCTGGCCCTGATTCCTGGGTGACCTCCAACTTTCTGAGTGCCAAACTCCCAGCTGGACACTTCCCACTGCGACTCCTGACTCACCCAGTGGTGCAGGTCCCCATGGGATCCCCAGGCACCAGATGAGGAGGATAGGAACAGCCCAGCCCTCAACTGCCAAGGGATGAAGGAACCCAGCTCTGGGGCCAGCAGGGCGGGCCACAGGCTGTCACAGGAGGAGGGCCAGTCACTTGCCTACCCCTTAGTAGTGACTCCTGCCTGTTCCACCGCCCCAAACCCTCAGGCCAGAAAGAACATAATTCCCCACCCCTGGGCCCGCCTTACTCCACCCTACCCCCCACCTCCTGGCTCCCTCTGGCCCTGGCCTCGAGCCCTCACTCCCCTGCAGTGCTTACTCCTGGCTCTGTGCTCGGGGATCACTCCTGGACGTGCTTAGGGACTGGATACTATGCTAGCTCTGGGGACTGAACTGGGGTCTGTCCCGTGCAAGGCAAACACCCCACCCCTCATACTATCTCTCTGGGCCGGAAGTGAAATCTTCTGACCCAGGTACTTCGGCACCTTGAGAACTGGATCCCTCCCACCGCTTCATCTGGCCTTTGCATCAAGCGTACTGTAGAATTCCCAGAAGGGCTGCTCCGTCCATTCCCCCTTCTCCTGGTCCAGCAGGACACTCACCATAGGGGCCCCGCGGTGGCCGATGAGCGAGGGCTTGGGGCCCAGGTCCTTCTTCTCCATGATGCAGGGGGAGGAGATGGTGAGCGGGACCAGGTAGAGGGCGAACGCCACGGCGAAGAAGATGCACAGAATGGCCACCTGGGAGGCTGCACACAAGGGCCGTGAGCGTAGCTGCGGCCACTCCCTGGTCTCCACGGGCAGCCCAAGGGAGGAGGCTGACCCCTCTGCCCTTCACCTGTCAGGACCCCGGGGCGGGGTTGCAACAAGGGCAGCCTGGAGCACCCAAAGAGGCGGGAGCAGAGGTATTCAGAGTGAGGAGCCCACCCCAGAGGAAGGCCTCTGACCCTCCGCCACCACCCAGGTATACCCCCCGAGTACAGTCCAGCTGGGCCATACTCACAGGATCGCTCGGTGCGGGCGAACTGTCCAGCCACAATCCAGGAGAGTGCTGTGACCGCCACCAGGGCCCCCATGTGCAGGAAAGGCGCCGTGCCCTGGGCCGGAAGGGGAACCGCAGGGCTCACACCTCCTCACCCCTCCCCACCCCCCTCTAGCCACAGCAGGGCACTGGGTGTCCATCTTCAGTGGAGGAAACTGGGGGCCCGGACCGTGGGCTGCAACATACCACCTGCCTCCGGCTTCTATATGACCTGAATCCCTTCTAGAAGGTGGGAATGACACTCAGGAACCTCTCTGGGGGTTTGCATGTGGGTGCCTAGTACCATCCCCTGAAGGGTCCCCCCAGCATTTTCTCCACCAAAGAAAATGAAGAAATCAAAAGGTGCTGCCACGTTTGAGGGTCCCACAGCGGCAGCCCCCCACTCACCTGCAGGGAGATGAGCAGCACCTCCCACTCATCCTCCCACAGCTGGGCCACGGCCGACATGGCCACCACCGTGGCCACCAGGATGACCACCAGCCCGATCTGGAATGGGGAGAGCCACAGACAGAAGGTCAGAGTGCCACCAGGGGCCTGGGTGCCTGAGGGGGGATCTGAGGTAGGTGCAGGGGAGAGGGGAGGTGGGGAGAGGCAGGCAGGCAGAACTGCAAGTGCAAGACAGGCCCCAGGCAGGCAGACCCAGGGTCCAAGGGACTTGGGGGTGGTCTTCCTTTGGCCCAGGACTGGCAAGAACTTGCCCAGCCTTCTCAGCAAACTTCCACCCAACCACAAGTTTCCCAAACTTCTCCAGGACTAAAAAAGGGGACTCAGAGCCTTCTAGAAACTGACTTTCTGCAAACAAACTGAAAGCAGCCCCCAGCTGCAGGAGGTGACTACTGTCTCCTGGATCAGTCCAGCCCCACCTCCAACACCCTCCCAGCTCCGCACCTGTGACAGTGGAGGAGAAGAGGATGCAGTGCCCTGCCTAGGACACCTCACACCTGGCCAGGCTCTTGGCTTTTCTATAGGCTGGGTGAGCTGCCGGGCAGAATTCTGTGCCCATCTGTGCCCACCTGTGCCCAGACCACAGCTCACGTTCAGCCCCAGCTCCTGGGGTACTGGGTGTTCCAGCCTTCGGCAGGTCCTGAGTACCGGCCTCCCAGCTGCTGCCGGGACAGGGATCTTGGGAACAGCTGGACACTGAGGCCCTCCCCTCAACTCAGTGACACCCAATTTCCAATTGCTTTTACTACGGTCCCCTCTGGACTCCTACAGCTCTCCATCTAAAGCCCTGGCCAGCCTCTCCCCCAGGCCCCAGGCTCTGTAGGGGGGCAGTCAGAGGTCCCCCGCTGATTCCAGCTCTTCTGTGTCCTTCCTGTGGCAGGGTGCAAGGCTGGGGTGACCAGCACCCAATGGAAGAGGCAGCATTCCCCTCAGGTGCAACTGGGGGGGGGGGTGCTTTCAGTTTGTTTGCATAAAGAAAGTTGATTTCGAGGATGCACTGAGTCCTCTTTTTGTCCTGTATAGGAGACAGAAGGCTGGAGACGTTTGGGAAGCTCATGGTTGGGTGGAAGTTTGCTGAGAAGGCTGGGCCAGGCCGTGCCCACACTCAAGAACAACAAGAACAAGCAGAAACATCTAAATGCTAAACTAAACCATACAGAATGCTTCATCGTCCTGGACCACACGGGTGGTGCTCAGGAGCGCCTGGCTCAGAGCTTTGGGGGAATGCTGGGGGGCCATAAGGCGCTGGGATCTGCATTCACTCCAGCCCACCGAGACATCTCTCCAGTCCAAAAGACATGACTTTTTAATAAAATAGAGAGGGAAAGGATTTTTTTTTAAAGTCTTACACAAAGCTCCTGACCATAAAAAGAGATGAGTGTCTCACAGCCTTAAGAGAAAACAAATTCCTACAGCCAAAACACAAGAGCAAAGTCGAAAGGTGAAAGACAAACCAGGCACAGCGATTTGCAGTTCATCAGCCAAAGGGCTAATTTTCTGAATCCATAAAAAGCTCCTGCCAACAAGCAAAACGCAAATCCCACAGCAAAATGGGCCAAAGATAGGAAGAGATGGTTTCTAGAAAAGGAAATGCTGATGACTCAAGCATTGAACGGGGGGATAGATGCCGATCTAACACAGAAGCGGGGAATCGCCACCCCAACTGCTCCGAGGCGCCCCTTTCACCCATGGGGTCGGCCAAAGTCAAACTCTTTGGAAGACATGACCGAAATCTTCCCATACTGTATGGGAGGGAGAGGGGGGGAGTTAGAGGCACCAGCAGAGATTTCTGGGAAGGATGAAGCAGGGGCACCTGCAAGGAGGCAATGCGGCAAGGACTATCAAAGTGACCAAAGTCCCCACTTTAATCTAGCAGGTCCTTGCCCAGTAGGTCACTGCTATATTGTCCTTGTGATGACCTGAATGTTATAGGGGTCAGGCCCAGCTCCAGGGGGCTGGTTAGATTCCCGGGAAATAGAGGCTGGGGCGTGAGTAGGAGCCTGTAACCGACCCCGAAGAATGCTCCTAACATTACTCCTGGTGGTGCTCAGGGGACCAGATGGGGTGCTGGAGAGATCAAACCCGCTGTACTATTCTACCGGTTGTACTATCGTTCTGCCCCCTCCTTATACACTTTTAATTCTGAACAATGTTTGCTTGAGCGAATTGATGAACAATGGGAGGACAGTGACAGTGACAGTCAATATATTAGTCAAAAAATGGTTCGAATATAACAAACAAAACACGGCTAAGGACGGGGGCTGGAGCGATAGCAGTGGTAGGGCGCTTGCCTTGCACACAGCTGACCCCAGTTTCATCCCCGCATCCCATATGGTCCCCTGAGCACTGCCAGGAGTAAATTTCTGAGTGCAGAGTCAAGAATAACCTGAGATTCACTGGGTGTGACCCAAAAAGCTGAAAGAAAACAAAAACAAAAACAAGCACTTGCCCCAGTCCTTTGAGACCCGGCCCTGGACCACTCACAGTCATTTCTGACCATTTCTGTGCCTTCCCAGTCTGCATGCAATCCTCTGCCAGGCTCTGGGAAAGGGGAGATGGCCTGGCTGGTCGTCCACTCCCTAGTCTTACCCCAGGCTCAGGGCTCTCTCTTGCTTGGTTTTGTCCCAGTCCTGCACTCATGGGGGTCTCAGAGAACTGGCTCGGTCACATCCCCGTGCATGCGCCCGTTTTGGAGTCAACCAGGAGGGAACTTCAGGGATAGAGAGATGAGTAGAGCCCAAAGGAAGTCTGCAGGGAGCACCTCAACGGAGGGAGAACGGGGATGTCGGGGTCCTTCACCTAAGCCCTGGGCATTGCTCAGAGCAGGTGACCTCACCTCTTCACACCTCGCCTTTCCACACTGGAGAACGAGGTGGGAGCAGTCCCCACAGGGTAGGGGTGAACGGGTGCATGAGGCTCAGAAAGCAGCACCACCTGGCAGGTGAGCGAGGCCCTGGGGATGGACGTGCCCAGGCTCCGCCCCCGCCCCGCCCACAACCTAGCCCTGCCCCAAGCCACAGCCCCGCCCCTAGCCACACCCACAACCACGCCCCTGGCCCCGCCCCGTCGTTGGCCACGCCCCACCCGCGCTGTCCTTACCTTGTGCAGCCAGTGCAGGTTCATCTGCTGCCCCACTGCGATGTGACAGAGCGCCAGGACCTGAGGGAGCCCACAAGGTGCCCATCAGGACCCTGCATCCCCCCGCCAGGGGCTCCGACGCCGGCAAAGCCCTTTGCCTGTGACAACGCAGCCCGAGCCTGGTCTGGCGGAACACTGCAGGGGTGCGGGGGGTGGGCCCACACCTCCCTGCCCTCTGGGCTGGCTGGCCGCGCTGGCCACAGGGCCTGGCCGGGTCCTCTACCCACTGCCGGTGTTTGGGGCGGCGCAGGCTTGGCCAGTGGACTGAGCCTCCGCCCCGGGGAGGCCTGTCCAGCATGGAGCAGGACGTGAGTCTGAGCTTCAGCCACTGGGAGCAGGAAATGGAACAGAAGTTCTGGAAGAGGAAGTCTGCAGGGGTGAGGGGGGTGGGGCACACGCAGGATGCTGCACCTTGGGGGGCCCTCATGTCCTGTGGAAGTCAGGGCAGCCCCTGGGTTTGGGGAAAGCCAGCTTTTCTGCTTCAGGCCCATGAGGTTCTCCACCCCTCTAAGAGGGCCCCCCACCCCTCTGAGAGGGCCGCCCACCCTCTGGACACTCACGTACCAGGAGGCCCGCGATGTACGTGAAAGCGGTGGCCGTGGTGAGAAGGATGGGCACGGACCAGTCGCTCCAGTAGCCCTTGCGGATGTAGAGGTACCTGTGGAGGAGAGGGCCCAGGGTCACATCTCCAAGGTTGCAAATGGCGCTGCACCTCTGTGAGGCCCTTACCACACAGTGGACATCTGGGGATGCCAGAACACAGAGTTGAAGACCATCTTCCCTGCTGTCCTAACACCCCCGAGCAGCCATCATCAAGATTTGGCTGACGTGTCTGTTATTTTGTTTGTTTTCTTTTGGGGGAGCACACCTGGGGTGCTCAGGCCTTACTTCTGGCTCTGTGCTCAGGAATCACTTCTGGTGGGCTCAAGGGACCACAGGGGATGCCAGGGATCGAACCCGGTCAGCCACTTGCAAGGCAAGAGCCCCACCCCCCACCCACTGGGCTGTCATAGTCTGGCCTGACATGCCCGAAGTGGACACATCTGTCCCTTGTGCTTACATATTAGCAGAAAGAGCAAAGCGGGACCCCTGTGGATACTCGGGCCAGAGTGTAGGTTGTTGTGTGTGTTTGTGGGGTGCTTGAGGGTTCAAATCCCCTCTCCAGCTGCTGTGGAGGTAACTGACACCTAAGGTGAGGTCCATTGGTATTCTCACCTCCATTGCCAGGTGAGAATGGGAAAACTTGAGGTCAGACATGATACCCGACTGCTCGGAGCCTCAGTCTCCCCATCTGTGGGGTGGGAACAGAAAAACGCCCTCCTGGGGCTCCCGAGGGTGCAGGAAAGTCCTGACTCAGCCAAGTCTCTGCTCTTTAACCTCCTGAGGAACTGTGATTCTTAAACAGCCGCGAGGCCTTCTACTGCATTAATGCACCGCCTGTTGCCGACTTCCGCCTACTGGCAATTCAGATGTTCCAATTATTTGCTATTATAAATAAACACAAAAAGAATAATTTTGTCCATCTCTCTCTGCACTACTAATCGTTTCCTTAGGACAGATTCTTCCGAGCAGAATTAAAGGGCCAAGGGGGAATGAACGACTTTCTGTGGCCCTGACAGACACTGGTAGATGGACCTCCAAAAAGACTGGACCAGCCACGTCCTCCCTGAACATGCAGGGAAACTGAGGCTTAGGGCAGGAAACAACTTGCTTCAGGTTGTCTGGGAATCTGAGTGGGGGCCAGATGTGCTGGCATCTTGGGGAGCTGAAGGGGGTCCAGCAGAACCCCCTGGTCTCTGCCTTTCCCTAAGCCTTCATCCCTTGACTGCCAGAGAAAACCTATTGCCTGAATGTACTCTCCTTACTGAAAGTTGGAGAAACTGAGGTCCCCAAAGGCACAGGGCTCCTGGAACGTGTTGGTCCTGCTTCTCGCTCACTTGGGATAAGAGCTCCCCCCCAACCCACCCACCCCATCTGGCTTCTGATCTCATCCTCTTTCTGCATGAGCGAGTCCCTGAACTTCCATGAGGGTACCATGAGGGTCTGGCCAGGGCCTTTTATATCCCAGTGCTGCCTCCAGGAGACCGTAGAGACTGGCTGAGGGGGCTCTGGGTATTGGGGGTCAGCCTGAGGCCCCAGGCAGCCTTCCTCTTGAGGCATCCTTAGCCACCCAGTGCTGGGCAGCACCTTTCTGGGGACAACATGAGACACTTCCTGCCATGATCTATTGGCTGTGTGGCTGTGTGAAAGGTGACTCAACCTCTCTGAGCCTCAGTCTCCTCAGGGGTTCTCAGTCTGTGTTTTGGACACAAACTGGTGGTGTGGTCATGGGGGTCCTGCCCATTTCTGGACAGAGAGCCTCTGGCTCCACACAGCTGTCTCGGGTCTGATCTGCATGGCAGGCAAACAGGGAATGTTCCACTTCCCCACGGTGATGCCGCTACGTTGGACACGGGAGGGATGAATAATTGATTTATGGCATTTAATAAAGGACAGAGGCCGCCTCTGGGGCTTGCCTGGGCTCCAGCTCAGCTCGCTGTGCTGCTGGGGACTGGCAGCACCCGTTATTGTGCTCATTAATAACAGGGGCACAGTGCAGTGCCACGAGGGGGGTGTCAGCACCCTCCGTCACCCTAGAACAGGGTCCCTCACACCACAGATGCTCACTGAGAGCCTCGTGCGGCCACGTGCAAGCTGGAGCTTCAAGCCACGTGTCCTGTGCCCCGGTCCACTTGGCTCAGGGAGAGGCCCAGGATGTGACAGTCACCATAACAGAAGAGAAGTCAGAGGCTCGGAGGGGCCTGGAGGCTTGCTCAAAGCCACCGGGCCGGAGTCGCTGCTTTATTTTCACTCTAAGATATCTAGATTTCCATGGCGGTGCTCGGGGATCACGCAGAGCAGAAGCTCAGCCTTCCCCTTCAGCGCTGAGCTGAAGATGCCGGGGGCAGACAGCACCGGCATCAGGGCCGGAGCGATAGGACAGCAGGGAGGGCACCCGCCTTGTACCTGGGTTCGATCCTCGGCATCCCATATGGTTCCCGAACACCTCAGGAGTGAGTCCTGAGTGCAGAGCCGTGAATAAGCCCTGAGTACCACTGGATGTGGTAACCCCTCCCCCCAGACAAAAAAAAAAAAAGAAAAGGCAGACTGGACCAGTTTGCCTCAGTTTCCATGCCCGTTGGTGGAGGCATCCTATTAGAAGCCTGCATCACTGTCCTTGTGTTATCAGCATGAATGGGCCAGATCAGCCCAGTGACGTGCTGAGGGCCTGTAAGGTGGGTCTGGGGTCACCTCCACTCCCTGGCCTGGGTGTCACCAAAGGGGGAGCAGGCCAAGCCCCAGGAAGGGTGCCCTGTCCTCCCACCCACACCTCATTCTCCCCAGAGGCTCCGCCCCAGCTGTCACAGGCCCGAGGGTGCCTACAGGTGGTGCCACCCCCGCGCCCAGACCCCTGCGCCCAGACCCCCGTGCCCACTTACCAGTTGAATTCATCGTAGTCGTTGCGGACTTCCCACCAGAAGTAGAGCCAGGTGAGCGTGAGGCCGAAGGTGAGGGTGAGAAGCAGGAACCAGAGGCGCTCCCACTGGAGGGCAGAGAGCCAGTGAGCACAGGGCACAGCTGTCCCACACTGCGGGGCACCCAGGCTCACGGGCAGATGCGGAGCCTGCGACAGCTCAGAACGGAGGGAAGCCTCGAGTGGGGTCAGGGGCCCCCAGAGCTGCACCCGCTTGCCGGCAGCCTTTGCAGTAGGCAGGAACGTGGGGGTGCAATGCCCGCTTGCCCTCCGCCTTCACGTGGGGAGCGGTGAGACGGTAGCCCTCACCTCCCACCTCCTCGCTTCACCTCTGCTGGGCCCAGAGGGTCAGAGATGAGGTGCCAAGTCCCACAGCAAGTTAGTGGAGTTAGAAAGATGAGCATTCCACATTGGGCTGACTCTCTCTCCTCTCTCCCTCTCTCTCTCTGATTCTCTCTCCCTCTCTCACACTCCCCCTTTCCCTCTCCCTCTCCCTCTCCCCCCCAACACCATTCAGAGTGATGCCTCCACCCCCCCCCCCCAGGCTTCCCCCAGCTTTCATGGGACCCTTATCTCAGACACACACGCGAGAAGGACATCCTGTTCGCGGGGAGCTGCTGACAACACCAGAACAAATCAACAAAGAGCACCGGAGTGGAAGTGGGAGCAGGAGACCCTCACTACACGGAGCGGGGTCCCTGCTGAGCCAAGGGGTGCTCCTGGCATCTCCTCCAGTTTCACCCCCATCTGTTCCTCTCACCAGCTCCAGCCCCCGGAAGGACCTTTGTGCCCAGCGAGCCACGAACCCCAACTCTCAAACCCCACTGGTCACCTCTCCCGGGCACCTCTCCCGGGCAGGGGACTTTGTGTGGGTGACAAAGAGAATGAGTGAGGGCCACCCTGTTTTGAGCCTCAAGATGACGTCGCCCCGCCCCATCTCTCCTGGTTCCTGGCACATCTGGGACAACGGTTCCGCCCACCCAGCTGGACCTGGTGGGGCTGCCGGAAGCCCCGGGTTGGGGTCTGTGTCCTGTGGATGAAGGCCCGGGCTGGTGCTGGGACCAGGGCAAGTCAGGGCTGGGGATACCAGGAACTGGGACGTCCTCTCTCAGAGCTCTGGCTGAAATGGGGGGTGAGGGACCAAACGGGGTATATTGCAACAAGCAATATAAAATAAGTTATTTCATGCAGGTCCGGGGCTGGGTGGGAAACGGGGCACTTTGGTGGTCGGGTTGGGGCTGGAATACATACTGAAGACCTGAAACCGCTGTATTCTGAACAACTTCGTAAATCACCGTGTTTAGTAAATCGTGGTGCTTTAAAAAACAGTTCATTCAAGGCAAAAATCAAAAAAAGTGAACTGCTGATAGATTATTTAAAAAAAAAAAAGTGCCGGGAGCTGGAAGCCGTGGCCCACTGGAGAGCCAGGCGGAAAGGCCCCAGCCCACGGAGGAGGGAACCGGCTTCTCTGAAGGATGGAGCTGGAAGGAAGGGGAGGGAGGCGGGAAGGAAGCGGGGCCGCTCTGCGACACGACACGAGGCTGCACCGGGCATGAAGGGTGCACACGGGCACGCAGAGGAGCAGCGGGGCGCTGCCGCCAGCCCACGCGTGGTGAGTGGTCCTGCCTCGGGCACAGGGGCCGGGGTGCTGCGATCGCGGGCATTCCTGTAGCTCCCAGAGAGATGGAGACGCGGCAGCCTCCTGCCCCCTCCCAGGCCAGCCGCGTCCCGTCCCACGGCGGGTCAGGGGGCGCGGTGGAGGCCCCAGGTGGGGTCCCTGGGGAGGGGACTGTACCCCATTTCCCGACAGCTCTCCCCAGGCCCGCCCTTATCCTGGGGACCTGCGATGGGCCCCAGCTCAGTCTGCGGACTCTGCTCTCCTCTCTCTGGGGTCTTTCTCCCTCTGGAGCCTCCCCATCCCCCAGGACCCCCGAGGTCTCCCTTCCCACCCTCACCCCCACTCCAGGGCTGAGCCCGAGACGATGGAAGGAGCTGGACGCCAGGGGGCGCCAGAGAGCCCCACCCCGAGCGTGAGGACCCCCGGCCCTGGGGGGCTGGTGCGCCAAGAGATGTCATGTGGCACACAGTCGAGCCCACCAGGGACAGTGCACCGGGAGACCTTCTGGGCAGGGGTGGAGCAGCTGTCCGTGTGCCCCGCGCTGGCCAGGACGTGAGCAGTGGAAGAGGGGCCAAGGCGACTGGACCAGCCAGCCTCAGGCCCCCTGCTCCCCCTTCAAGGAAGGACGTGGTGACCCCACCTCCTTCCTCTCAGAGCTCTGCAGCCGCCCGGAGGCAGGTCACACTGGTCAGGCAGTTCCTGAGCCTGGACCTCGGAGCGACAGGTTTGGAGGATGTGCGTCTGTCCGCACCAGCGCTGCTAGCCAGCAGGAAGGGGGCAAAGAATGGGATGGAGAAGCCCCCCAATGTCCTGCCTCATCCCCCATTCTTGTCCCTCCCTCCAGGAGGCCCCCCAGGCCTCCCCCATCCTGTGTGACTGGCTCTCCTCACTGCCTCCCTCCATTGTCATTCTTCCCCTCCTCCCCGCCCCCCTGCCCTGCCTGTCCCCCTCCCTCCAAGGCTGTCCTACCACTGGTCCCTGTCAGCTGCTGCTGCTGCAGAGACTTCTCCGTGCTGGGGATGGGAGGAGAGAGCTGCTGCCAGTCTATACCCTGGGCAGGAAGTGCGGGCACTGGCCGGCCCCTACCACAGACACTGCTCCCACTGCTGGGGGCACTGTGGGCTCGAGTCCCTCCCCTAGGCACCCAACAGAATCTGGGCCAGCACCCGAGCACTGGAGCTAACTGGCTACACCCCTATTCCGGCAGGAACCCCACTGTCACCCAGCTGCCCCCAGGAGGGGGCCACGCACCTCGCTCTGGGCACCAGACTTCCCTGTCTTGGTCCCTGCCCCGTTCCTCCTCCTGAGACAGCCACCGCGGAGAAGCAGGACTTCGGGGGTCCAGCCACATGGAGTTTGCTTTGTTTTTCATTTGGGGGCCACACCCAGCAGTGCTCAGGGCTTCTCCTGGCTCTGCACTTGGGAATCACTCCTGGGGGTGCTCAGGGGACCCTATGGGATGCCGGGAATTGACCTCAGGCCGACTGTGTGCCAGGCAAATGCCCTCCCAGTTGTACTATGACTCCAGCCCCCAGCAGACACATGGGGTTTGAATCCCACAGGGGGTGGGTGAATGGGTGCCCTTGGAGGTGCATGGTGACCTTGAATGCAGGACCTTGGAGATGCCATTCACTGGTGCTTCCTGAGCACCAGCTTCCTGTGCTGTCTGAACATAGACAGACCTGTCCCTGCCTACTCCGTGCCCGGGCAGCCCTGTCACCACCCAGAGCCTGGCCGGCAGCAGGGCAAGATATATTGAGCCCAAACAATGAATCGCAGGACTTGAATTCCGACCTCCCGCCCACTAAAGGCAGGGCTGGGGCGGTCACCAGGAGCTCCAGCCTCAGCTTCCTCTGTTCACAGCCGCTGACATCACCTCTGCCTCCCGGGAGGCCCGCCAGGCCCTGGATTACAGATGTAAGCTGCGAGTCGCCAAATCCACAAGCCCGCCTATAATTATCATTTCGCGTCTGACAGCCCTTTAATTACGTGAAGACAGCGCTCCGGTCTCCCACCCCCTTACATCAAATCTCTCCTGCCCTGAGCAGAGGCAGGCAGGCAGCCACCCCAGGGGGCTGGGTGGGTGCTCCTGGGGGGCCCCAGGGTGACACGGAGCCCAGTCCTGGCTCTTCAGGCTGCAGTCCCCTATAGAGCAGGCAGGGAATGGAGAAGCGGACCCCACTGGTGACCCCAACCCAGCCACTATGGCCAGCGTGCAGAGCCTGATGTGAGCCTGCCACAGCGTCAAGGCACCCTCACCCTGCCTCGGTTCATCACTTCCTCTCCTTCACTCTGCAAAGCAGAGCTGGAGGCGGGCCGGGCTCAGAGAGAAGGAGCCGCCTGAGGTCACCAGGGGCAGGCCTCCCGAGCACCAGACTCACCTCTGTGCCCCTCCGGCACCCGCCGCTCTCCCAAGGCAACAAGGAGCAGCTCCTGTAATTATCCCTGTCTGACCGAGGCGGAAACCAGGCTCCCAGGGCCCAGGCCTGGCCCCACTCCCCTCCCGGTGCCAGCAAGTCATGTCATAGAGGACACCGGGGCAGGACCTGGATGCTCAGAGGTCCTCTCACCTCATCTGCACCAGGTCCATAAGAAATAGAGGACCCAGAGCAATAGGACAGCAGGTAGGACGTCTGCCTGGCACGTGGCTGACCCCGGTTCGATCCCCGGCACCCCACAGGGTCCCCCGAGCACCGCCAGGAGTGATTCCTGAATGCAGAGGCAGGAGTCACCCCTGAGCATCATTGCTGGGTGTGACTCAGAAACAAGCAGAAGAAACGAAGAGACCGGGCTGGGTCCCCCAACAGAAGAAGGGTCTGGAACAGAAGCATAGGCTGAGCACATGACCAGCACATGAAGGAGGACGTGCCAGATGGAAACCCACTTGGTAAAGGATGAAGACCAGCCTTCCTACTTCATATTCCACAGCAGACAAAAAAATCTCAGCCAGCAAAATCGCCTTCATTTCTCCGCCAGTGCCCTCTTGCAGTCTGTCACACACACGAGTGCTGAGCCCTGAACACCGGCAGATGCATCCCGCCTGGGTCCCCTCTGAGCAGCCCACAGGCGATGCCACTCCTTGGAATGAGTCTGGAGAATGGGGCCGCCTAGAGGCGCAAGGGGAGTGAGGGACCCAGAAGCAGTCTGGAGGGCTTCCTGAAGGAAGAGACCTCTACAGCAAAGCTGGATGAAGCGGACTTTCCGGGGCGTGGTTAGGGAACTGTTATTCGGGCAGCAGGAGTGAGGAAGCGAGGTTGTAAGGGCACAGAGCTTGTTTGGAGGAAGAAAGTCCAAGTACTGGTTTTCACATATATATTGTATGTTTTTCCCTTTTTATCATTTGACCTTTGTGTATTTTTTAATATAATTTTTTTTGTCACACCCAGCGATGCTCAGGGGTTATTCCTGGCTCTGCACTCAGGAATTACTCCCAGCAGTGCTCGGGGGACCA